AAGTCACTAGGTCATATGGCTGCCCTTATTATTTGACATCTGTACCTGTTAATCTGTGCAGTGAGGACATCTGTGCAGAGTGGCACAGGCTTTATTATAGTACTAGTATATGAATTTTTATGTTCTTACTACTTTAAAAGTGTAACTTCAGGGTGGGGGAGAATATAGATTTGCCCATTGTATTGGTCTGTAGACTGACAAAACAGTGGGGGCATCTGTGTCCTGCGGAAACATTTCTATAGTTGTATTTTGATATTTAAATCCCTAAAACTTAGAATGGACTGTTCCAAAATGTAAAACAGGGCAAATCCATTACACAAATTCAGCAGGTTATTTAGGGTTATGGTAGGTCAGTGACTTGATGGAGGTGTCTGAACTATACAGCAGTAGTATATATTGTTGTGTCATTGATCTTTAACCCTATAACACACTAAATATCTAAAATGGACTTGTCTATCTTTCAATCTGGACTAAACCATTTGTCATTTTTAGGGAAAATTTTAAAATATCGTACTGACGGGATAGCGAACAGTGCAGACTTATAGTGATCAGATGGCGCAGATGTGCCGGCTGATCTTGGTTGAAAACCGTTTGCATGGTTAAATTATCAAAAACTTGTTACTCTCATGTTAAGCCAATAAGAATTCTTTTAATACATAAAACATCATTCATTTAAATGCATACTATATAGTGTTGTAATTTTAAAAAAATATGCGTGTTATTATTATTTAATAAAATTACCAGTCAAGAGATAAGAATTTACTTTTACTTGAGTACAAGTTTTCAGGCAATTTGCCTTAAAGTTCAGGTTTGTTATACACCTGAAAGCACTCTTATTACATAAAACCCATTAAAATAATGCTAAATTCAGGTATTTTTTTAAGGTTTTCTGACTTTTTGAACTTGGGCCATCCTTAAAAAAGTGTTTGTTTGCAGTAACGCGACCGACTCACAAAATTTGCCCCTACTCAATTTTTTTTTCATGGTCTGGATAAAAAAAATTTTTTTTTTGAATCAGAAAATTATGCCTTGTGCTTTGTTTTCGTTTTTTTAAAGGTTAATAGAAGAAATAAAATGTAGTTCTTATTAAATTAGAATTCTGTTATCAATTTATTAATTGTTACCAGATTATCAAAGCATATATTGTCCAGCATTTTGAAATTCCATGTTTATTTGGGAGTACAGTTCAATAAAAAAAAAAATAATAAAAAAATAAATCGACCTACCTACCCACCTTGAAAATTCTGGGTCGGGTTACTGCAAACAAACATTTTTTTAAGGACGGCCTTGTATCCATGTAATCGGGCATTATAGTACAATGAAATTATGATAAATCAGGGCTTATTTTCACAGGTTTGGGAAGCAGCCCCACCCTTAATGGGGGGGGGGGTTATACGGTATATTTGCAAAAGGGGAAGAAAAACCTTGATGTTAAAATTCAATTTTTGGGGAAAACTGCATGATTATAAAGAATTATTCTTTTGGGGAGCTGCCTTTAAACAGCGCCTGCTATAGAAGAAAAAAAAGGCCTGTAAGTTAAGTTTTTGTAACTGATGAAGGGAACAAAAAAAAAAAACTGATTCAGCTTCTATTAACACCAATGGATTAGACAGAGCTTTAAGTTATACAGTCACAACTCTGTTGTGAGGCATCAACAATTTGACTTTTTCCCATGTAAACAATGTAACACCAGTGACACCAAAAGTAAAACAAAGATTAACCTTCACATTGCTTTTTTTCATGAATCATACATGTATAATTATAATACACACACATGAAAAATGCTGATGTAAATTTGTGCTGACATAAGCAAAAAGAAAAATGTTTTTTCCTGACATTTGTGCAAAAGATACATTACCATTTTGTCATTAATGAATAATGTATTATTCTGAATAACATGTAATTCTGATAGTTTGATACTTGGCAAATATTACAAAGAATAGTATAGAAATTTGTTGTTTTTTGGCTCTACTATTTGATGAATAGAGAGAGTTATAGTGGGTAGGTGTCAGTAGCGCTGTCTTCACACTTTGGTTAAGTTTTTACATCAAAACTACTGAAGGCAATGGGTTGAAACATCAAGCACTTTTTTCAGAGCATTATAGGAGGTCACTGTACAAGGCTTATAACGCTTTAACATGGATTTTGACAGAATTATTGCCCTTCTTGCACTTAGAAAATTTTTCATTATCCAGGCTCTTGTTTTACTATCAAGCACTAGAAATAGTCATTCCCACTGGCAGTTCTTGTTTTTTATAAAGAGTGTATAGCATTTGACATTTGCATTATATATAATGTTATAATATTGGCAATGATTATTATGGAATCTATTTCCACAACAAAGTGTTTCATAAAGAATTAGTAACACGTTCTGGTTAAATGACATTTAGAAATGTTGAACGTACTGAATTACAAAGTAAAGTTGAAATGCCACTTATGAATTAATCATTGAACTTTTTTGTTCGCATCTGAATCTAGAGGTCAATGGAAACTGTTTTGGTATTTGTCGTCTTTCTTTGTTTCGCTTTTTTGAATTTTTGATAATTTTTTAAGCTTAGGTCATTTCATTTTCATTCCACAAGCTTAATAGCTTTTGTACTACTTAATATTTTAGGAAAATATTGTTCATTTGTGGTGTTGAAATATGACCATTGCCTTTTGATAGAGCGGTCATTGGCAGAAATGTTATCAATGTATCGTGGATAATTTTCTGTCGAAGTGTATGCTATAGTTAATTTGGAAGCAGGTGCCTGTCAAAAACTATATGTGTCAAAAACTATGCTATTGTTTCATGTTTCATAGCAGTGATGGAAAAAAGTTAGGGAAAAAAAACAACATGCAGATCACTTGGTATTTATAAATAATACTCATAATAATTGTATAACAGAACATGTGTAGAGAATGTGTATTATACTGAAACATGAAAATAGATATGAAAGTGAAATAGAGATAAGTAATACCTTGATATATTGAAGTATCATCAATATTTGTCACCCCTTATCAATATATCTTTAATATGCTTTGGACTGAATCAATAATCATCTTTACCTTTTAATAACATTAACCTTAAACTCTCGGTAGGAAAGAACAATCCTGGAGATTATAAAAACCTTCCTCTGAGATTTGTCTCAAATCTCAGGATTTTCATTGGTCAGTTTAAATTGTTTTCTGGTTTTTTGACCAATCAGATGCTCGAGATCTGATTATGAGCATAGGAAAATTCTTTAAAACCTTGGACCGAGATTTAGGATGGGGCATTTGTGTTTTGCAACTATATTCGACATTCGTGACATTCCTTTTTAAAAAAATTAAAAGTTATTTTTACAGCAGATATATAGTTTTATACACTGTAAAGGGAGATAAATCTTTTACACAATTGTATTATGGGATACCACATAGGCTAATGTTTGGGTGTTTCTATTTTTAGCAACAAGTTGTAGAACAGCATCGTGACATTCCTTTTTATATGCCCGAAAGGGCATATTATGTTATACCCCCTGGCGTCCGTCTGTCCGTCCGTCCGTCCGTTAGCAATTTGGTTTCCGGAGCATAACTAAAGTTCCATTTGGCCCACAATGTTAAAACTTCATAGGATGATTGTCCATATTGGGTAGAAGACCCCTATTGATTTTGGGGTCAAAAGGTCAAAGGTCAAGGTCACTATTACCTTAAAACTGAAAACGGTTTCCGGAGCATAACTTAAGTTCCATTCGACCCACAATGTTCAAACTTCATAGGATGATTGTCCATATTAAGTAGAAGACCTCTATTGATTTTGGGGTCAAAAGGTCAAAGGTCAAGGTCACTATTACCTTAAAACGGTTTCCGGAGCATAACTTAAGTTCCATTCAACCCACAATGTTCAAACTTCATAGGATGATTGTCCATATTGGGAAGAAGACCCCTATTGATTTTGGGGTCACAAGGTCAAAGGTCAAGGTCACTATGACCTTGATACTGAAAACAGTTTCCGGAGCATAACTTAAGTTCCAATTGGCCCACAATGTTCAAACTTCATAGGATGATTGTCCATATTGGGTAGAAGACCCCTATTGATTTTGGGGTCAAAAGGTCAAAGGTCAAGGTCACTATTACCTTATAACTGAAAACAGTTTCCAGAGCATAACTTAAGTTCCATTTGACCCACAATGTTCAAACTTCATAGGATGATTGTCCATATTGGGAAGAAGACCCCTATTGATTTTGGGGTCACAAGGTCAAAGGTCAAGGTCACTATGACCTTGATACTGAAAACAGTTTCCGGAGCATAACTTAAGTTCAAATTGGCCCACAATGTTCAAACTACATAGGATGATTGTCCATATTGGGTAGAAGACCCCTATTGATTTTGGGGTCAAAAGGTCAAAGGTCAAGGTCACTATTACCTTATAACTGAAAACAGTTTCCAGAGCATAACTTAAGTTCCAATTGACCCACAATGTTCAAACTTCATAGGATGATTGTCCATATTGGGTAGAAGACCCCTATTGATTTTGGGGTCACAAGGTCAAAGGTGAAGGTCACTATTACATTGATACTGAAAAATATGTTTCCACGCATAACTTAAGTTCCATTTGACCCACAATGTTCAAACTTCATAGGATGATTGTCCATATTGGGTAGAAGACCCCTGTTGATTTTGGGGTCAAAAGGTCAAAGGTGAAGGTCACTATTGCCTTGATACTGAAAACAGTTGCCGGAGCATATGTTAAGTTCCATTTGGCCCACAATGTTAAAACTTCATAGGATGATTGTCCATATTGGGTAGAAGACCCCTATTGATTTTGGGGTCAAAAGGTCAACGGTTAAGGTCATCCTTACTAAAAAAAAAATACTTTCGGGCATATAATGCTCCGCCTAGCGGTGCTCTTGTTAACAATTTGAAAAGTTATTTTTACAGCAGATATATAGCTTTATACACTGTAAAAGGAGACAAACCTGTTACACAGTTGCATTATGGGTAACCATATAGGCTAATGTTTGGGTGTTTCTATTTTTAGCAACAAGTTGTAGAACAGCATGCACGGGATGTGAGAGAGCAGTACAATCGTGAAAGACTACCAGTAGCTCAGCCCAGCAGTCATGAGGATTTATTACAGTTACAGAAACGACGACCCACCCTGCTCGACTATCACCATGGAAATCACCCGCAACAGGGTGTAGATAGGGCTAGACAATACAGGTAATCAATGAATATGATCATAGAAAAGCATGTATATGAATACTGCTAGTTCATTTTAGCTTGACTATATGAGAAATAGGAGGAGCTATTGGACCCTCCAGCTTCAGTGTCACGCTTTGGTTAACATTTTGCAATATGCAAAATTGCAATAAGTTATGCATGTTAAGGAAGTTATGGTGTTGGGTGTTCTAGTTATGTAATAACATAAAATAAACATTTTGGTGAAAATTGCAAAAATATAGCTATGGTTAAGAAGTTGCATGTTGACATTTTTGCAAAAATTTAAATTGACCTAATACTTAGTATATGTTGGCAAGAACCTTCTATATGACATTTACCTTGATATTTTCATTTTAAAGGAGCTCCAAAAACTTTCAACATAAAAATTAAAAATCTTACAATGATCAACTGAGGAACTTAAAATAGAAACATAGGAAAATAGTTAAAGTTCATAAAGAAGTAGACTCAAAATTAGAATGAATCAATAATTAGCGCAATTCTTAGCATGATTTCAGCTCAAAGCATTTCCATTTTTAGGTCACTTTGAACACTAAAAATGATAACTCTTGAATACCAGAGAAATTGAGTGATATGAAATTTTCAAATTTTGATAAATGACATGTAACTTATATTTCTATCAGACCAGAGCCTCCCTCAGCTTACGGGCAACATTATAGACAGGAAACCATGGGAAACCTACAGGGAGGCTTGCCTGTGTCCTTGAGTAGTGCTGCTGCCCCTCAACCCTCAGGACCATCCACTCCGAAGAGGCCACGCCTTGGACCCATTGATCGGCCAGATTTAGCACAGCCTTTAAGCATCGATGTCAGTCAGACGGAACCTAAACGGGTAAGAGAGCAGCAGCATTTTTGTTCGAAATTCTTTTTTTGACGATCTTTACTTTACTTTATTTTTTTGTCCTGCAAAAACTTTAATGTAACCATTTTTCAAATATTCTAAATGTTATCTGGATGAAACTTTGAAAATCAACTTATCATCACCAAGTGTAATAGTTAGACTTAGGCATTTATTCTGAAAACAATATTTTTGGCGTTATGCACCCTTTTAACTTAAAATTTTTGAACAGACAAGCGTTAACTCCTAATGCAGTACTCTTTTTAGCTCACCTGTCACAAAGTGACAGGGTGAGCTTTTGTGATCGCTTTTCGTCCGGCGTCCGTCCGTCCGTCGTCCGTCCGTCGTCCGTCCGTCCGTAAACTTTTACTTTAAATGACATCTCCTCATAAACCACTAAGCCAATTTCATCCAAACTTCACAGGAATGTTCCTTTGGTGGTCACCTTTAAAAATTGTTCAAAGAATTTTAATTCCATGCAAAACTCTGGTTGCCATGGCAACCGAAAGAAAAAACTTTAAATATCTTCTTTTTAAAAAACCATAAGAGCTAGAGCTTAGATATTTGGCATGAAACATCTTCTAGTGAGTGTCTACCAAGTTTGTTCAAATAAAAGCCCTGGGGTCAAAATTGGCCCCGCCACGGGGGGTCATTGATTTTCCCCTATATGCATATAGTAAAAACTTAAAAAATCTTCTTTTAAAGAACTCAAAGAGCTAGAGCTAAGATATTTAGCATGAAACATGTTCTAATGGGTGTCTACCAAGTTTTGTTCAAATAAAAGCCCTGGGGTGAAAATTGGCCCGCCCCGGGGGTCATTGGATTTTCCCTATATGCATTATAGTAAAAACTTAAAAAATCTCCTTTTAAAGAACTCAAAGAGCTAGAGCTTAGATATTTGGCATGAAACATCTTCTAGTGAGTGTCTACCAAGTTTGTTCAAATAAAAGCCCTGGGGTCAAAATTGGCCCCGCCCCGGGGGGTCATTGATTTTCCCTATATGCATATAGTAAAAAACTTAAAAAATCTTCTTTTAAAGAACCCAAAGAGCTAGAGCTAAGATATTTAGCATGAAACATGTTCAAATGGGTGTCTACCAAGTTTGTTCAAATAAAAGCCCTGGGGTGAAAATTGGCCCCGCCCCGGGGGTCATTGATTTTCCCTATATGCATATAGTAAAAAACTTAAAAATCTTCTTTTAAAGAACTCAAAGAGCTAGAGCTTAGATATTTGGCATGAAACATCTTCTAGTGTGTGTCTGCCAAGTTTGTTCAAATAAAAGCCCTGGGGTCAAAATTGGCCCCGCCCCGGGGGTCATTGATTTTCCCTATATGCATATAGTAAAAACTTAAAAAATCTTCTTTTAAAGAACCCAAAGAGCTAGAGCTAAGATATTTAGCATGAAACATGTTCTATTGGGTGTCTACCACGTTTGTTCAAATAAAAGCCATGGGGTGAAAATTGGCCCCGCCCCGGGGGTCATTGATTTTCCCTATATGCATATAGTAAAAACTTAAAAAATCTTCTTTTAAAGAACTCAAAGAGTTATGGCTAAGTTATTGAGCATCAAACATGTTCTAATAGGTGTTTACCAAGTTTGTTCAAATACAAGCCCAGGGGTCAAAATTGGCCCCGAACCGGGGGGTCATTGATTTTCTTTATATGTGTTTAGCAAAACTTTAAATCTTCTTTGAAAAAACCCAAATAGCTAGAGTTTAGATATTAAGCATGAAACATCTTCTAGTAAGTGTCTACAAAGTTTGTTCAAATAAAAGCCCTGGGGTCAAAACTGGCCCGGCCCCAGGGGTGTCATTGTTTTAACTATATGTGTATAGTAAAAACTTTAAAAAAATCTTCTTTTAAAAAGCCCAATGAGCTAGAGCTTAAATGTTTAGCATGAAAACATCTTCTTATGGGTGTCTACCAAGTTTGTGCAAATAAAAGCCCTTGGGTTAAATTGGCTCTGCAACTTTGGGGGGGGGGTGGGGGTTGGGGGGGCCTATATACAGGTGAGCGACCTCAGGGCCATCATGGCCCTCTTGTTATATTTTTATATTAAAACCCTTTAAACTTTGCATGGATTTTTCCGAATTCAAAGGAGAGCTATTAAATTACACAATTTCAGCTTATGATTAAATTTACCTCTTCTTTCTATTATAGGAGCCAGCGTACAACCCTCAGACGGAAGCTATATCTCCTACACTACCACCTGAGGACAACAAAGTTCAGAAAGTTAAAGATGAGTTGTTTACAGAATATCAGCAAGGATAGACAGAGAGATTGCTCTTGTAGAGCAGCCAGATTCAGATGAAGAAGAAAAGAAACAGGTATAGGGGTTTATAGCTGACTTTATGATGGTATATTGGTTTATAACTGATTTTAATGCATGATATAGGGTTTTAATACTTTCTTTTATGATGGTAACATCTGGTTTATGGTGACTTAATGATGTTATAGGGGTTTATGGGCTGATTTATAGCTGACTATAATGGAATAGGGGTTAAAAGCTGACTTTGAAATGGTATATGGGTTGTAAAACTTATTTCAATGATGGTATTGGTAAGGGGTTTAAATAGCTCCCTATGATGGGATAGGGTTTTTGTCAGTAACTTTATGATGATAATAGGGTATATTGCTGACTTAATAGTGATTCATACATGACTATGGTCGTATAGGGGTTTTTAACATTATGTTTGTGAAGGGGCCTACTTTTGACTGTGGTTGTATAGGGTTTTAGTGCTTTGCTCACTCTAAGTTGGTATAGGGGTTTGTAAGTGACTTAATGTTGATAAATTGGTCTTTAGCCTACTTTATGATGTTAAAGGATTTATGGACTTTGTCATTGTAGATATTTTAAGAATTTTAAGTATGGAAAATTTGTTTATATTTTTGTACAATCATAAAAGTCGTCAATTTTTCTTATTTTTGTTACCATAGCAACAAGAAGAAGCAGCAAGTAAGCACAAGGAGTTTGTAGAATCGGAAGAAGTACCAGAAGCAATATCTGTAGACATGAAACATCAGAGTACTGCTCAGATCATATATGCTGAAAACAGAGTAAGTTTCATAGTCTCTTATATAGAAAACAATTTGTATCTAATTTTTATTGATATTTTTGTTTATAGGAACTCCACTGGGGTCCAAAACCTAAAAAAAATATAGATCAGTTGGGGGTATTTAACAAAGAAAGATATGTAAAAGATAATTAAGAAACATACAATGAAATAAATTGAAATTGTATTTTTGTGTTAATCTTAAACCCAATTTTAATGCTACACTTTTCAACTGTAGGTCATTTTTCACAATTAGAAAAATGAAGAGAGCAGATGATCAGAAATTTGGCAAATAAGTTGTCTTTCTAGTCCTACATCAAATGATACATTTATCATAAGAATAAAAAGCCTGGAATATCCAGCAAAATGAGTCCTAACCTTAAATCAATTACAAATGATTGTTTAATATGATGGTTGGAATAGGTGAAATAACATTAGTATGTTCTGTAAAAGGTTTTTTTTCGCTCACCTGTCACAAAGTGACAGGGTGAGCTTTTGTGATCGCTTTTCATCCGGCGTCCGTCTGTCCGTCGTCTGTCCGAGCAAACATTTGATTATTATGAGCTTCATTCCGTAGTTAAATAAAGAACAAAAACTCATAAAATTCAAATTAAGAGCTATTTTTTTGTTTTTATGAGCTTATTTTGCTTATGGACGTTGGTCCAGGTGGTGTTTATGAGCTGATTTGCCTCATAAACATCAAATTTTGGTATGTCCGTCCGTCGGTCCGTAAACTTTTACTTTAAATGACATCCCCTCATAAACCACTAAGCCAATTTCATCCAAACTTCACAGGAATGTTCCTTTGGTAGTCACCTTTAAAAATTGTTCAAAGAATTTAATTCCATGCAGAACTGTGGTTGCCATGGCAACCGCAAGAAAAAACTTAAAATATCTTCTCTTAAAAAACCCAAAGAGCTAGAGCTTAGATATTTGGCATGAAACATCTTCTAATGAGTGTCTACCAAGTTTGTTCAAATTAAAGCCCTGGGGTCAAAATTGGCCCCGCCCCAGGGGGTCTTTGATTTTCCCTATATGCATATAGTAAAAACTTAAAATATCTTCTTTTAAAGAACCCAAAGAGCTAGAGCTAAGATATTTAGCAATAAACATCTTCTAGTGAGTGTCTACCAAGTTTGTTCAAATAAAAGCCCTGGGGTCAAAATTGGCCCCGCCCCAGGGGGTCTTTGATTTTCCTTTTATGCATATAGTAAAAACTTTTAAAGAACCCAAAGAGCTAGAGCTAAGATATTTAGCATGAAACATCTTCTAGTGAGTGTCTACCAAGTTTGTTCAAATAAAAGCCCTGGGGTCAAAATTGGCCCTGCGGCCAGGGGGTCATTGATTTTCCCTATATGCATATAGTAAAAACTTAAAAAATCTTTTTTGAAAAAACCCAAATAGCTAGAGTTTAGATATTAAGCATGAAACATCTTCTAGTGAGTGTCTACCAAGTTTATTCAAATAATTGGCCCCGCCCCTGGGGGTCTTTGATTTTCCCTAAATGCATATAGTAAAAACTTAAAAATCTTCTTTGAAATAACCCAAATAGCTAGAGTTTAGATATTAAGCATGAAACATCTTCTAATGAGTGTCTACAAAGTTTGTTCAAATAAAAGCCCTGGGGTCAAAATTGGCCCTGCCCCAGGGGGTCATTGATTTTCCCTATATGCATATAGTAAAAACTTAAAAAATCTTCTTTTAAAGAACCCAAAGAGCTAGAGCTAAGATATTTAGCATGAAACATGTTTTAATTGGTGTCTACCAAGTTTGTTCAAATAAAAGCCCTGGGGTATAAATTGGCCCCGCCCCGAGGGTTATTGATTTTTCCTTATATGTAAATAGCAAAAACTTAAAAATCTTCTTTGAAAAAACCCAAATAGCTGGAGTTTAGATATTAAACATGAAACATCTTCTAGTGAGTGTCTACAAAGTTTGTTCAAATAAAAGCCCTGGGGTCAAAATTGGCCCCGCCCCAGGTGTGTCATTGGTTTTAACTATATGTGTATAGTAAAAACTTAAAATATCTTCTTTTAAAAAACCCCAATGAGCTAGAGCTTAGATGTTTAGCATGAAACATCTTCTTATGGGTGTCTACCAAGTTTGTTCAAATAAAAGTCCTTGGGTTAAAATTGGCCCTGCCAGGGGGGGGGGGGAAGGAGGGGGTAGATTGTTATTTTTCATTATATGTGTGTAGTAAAAACTTAACATCGTGAAACATCTTCTAATGGGTGTCTTCCAAGTTTGTTCAAATAAAAGCCCTGGGGTTTAAACTGGCCCCGCTCTGGGTGCCTTTATACAGGTGAGCGACCTCAGGGCCATCATGGCCCTCTTGTTTTTAAGTAGTCAAGCAATATTGAACATTGTATTATACTAAGTTATACAGTTCTTACCCTGTCTTACTTTTATACAACATTGTGTATTATTGTATGTCTTGCAAGCTCATTTATTCAATTTTGTTTTGTTGATTAGTGGAAATAAAACAAAGATATGTCTTTGTAAATTAATACAAGTGCTATTTTGTCATTTTTCAGAAAAAAGCTGCGGAAGCCCATAACATTCTATCAAAGATGGGACCTAAAGTGGATCTGGTATGTTTGTGGTTTTATAAACCATCTGTTGCTTAATGTTATAAATCTGGTAGTATCTCAAGTTAACCTGCTTCTCGGAAAAGTTATATATAGATCCTGTTTAAATTGAACAATACTGTAATTGTTTTATTGATTGTTAACATAAATACACTTTTTAAACCAGATGTCCCCCAGACATGTCAGGTTAACAGATGGAGAATATTAACTGTGTTAATACTTATCTGATGTGATAGAATCAATATTTTATGTAATTGTATCAAGATGCTAATCTTGCTTGTGAATTTGCCCTGGTGACCTTTTGGGGTAACGAAAATGCTTATTAAACACAGTTTGTTGTCTTGAATTACAATAAGTTAAAAAAAAAGTAAAAATTTATTCATCTACCCCTTGTAATGCTCAGGGCAAGCACTTGCCTGTGCTGTCACAGTGGTACCACCACAGAACCAGGCCAGCGATGAAAGTTTGGCGAATCTACTCATTTGCCCTCATGTGCTTAAAGAAATTGAAATTGAAGTACAAGGCTGCTGAGGTGGTCTTAATCTGCCAGTAAAGCTTGAAATTTGCCATTTGATCTTCACTGTGTGACTGTGAACTAAGAAACCCTTAAAAAAATTAAAAAATAAGTAAAAAAATTAAATAAATGAATAAAAATATACTAATCCAGAACCACTAGTCCTTCACGGCAGCGGGTTAGAATCCCACCAGGGACTTCAAAATTTTTCATGTGACGATGCTATCCAGCTAGCTTACAAATCATATTTAGTTCTGTGGTTCTACTCAGATGCCTGTTTGTGCCTTAAATTATACTCAGAGGAGCGAATGAGGGTCTTCCTCCACTAGTAAAGCAGGAACGTCTTCATGACCTCTATGGTGTTGGTGTGATATAAAACCCAACTAAAGATAGAGAAAGAAAAAAAAACTAAAAATAGAAAGAAATATAAAGTATTAATTTAGTTTGGTAAATATAATGTAATATTTCTTCTTTTTTTTACAGCCCCTGTACAACCAACCCTCTGATGCTCCTATATACCATGAGAACAAACGAAAGTAAGTTTTTAGCTCGACTATTCAATAAGAATAAGTAGAGCTATTGTAGTCACCCGAGCGTCGGCGTCAGCGTCGGCGTCTGCGTCGGCGTAACCACTTATGTTAAAGTTTTTGTAATAGTTTAAATATTTTCAAAGTCCATTGACATATTATGGCTTTGAAACTTTGCACACTTGTTCACCATCATTACCCCAACCTGTAAACAGGAGGAGGTAACTGTATCAAGCATTTTGACAGAATTATGCCCCTTTTTCGACTTAGAATTTACGTTAAAGTTTTTGTAATAGTTCAAATATTTTCAAAGTCCATTGACATATGGCTTTGAAACTTTGCACACTTGTTCCCCATCATTACCCCAACCTGTAAACAGGAGGAGGTAACTGTATCAAGCATTTTGACAGAATTATGCCCCTTTTTCAACTTAAAATTTACGTTAAAGTTTTTGTAATAGTTCAAATATTTTCAAAGTCCATTGACATATGGCTTTGAAACTTTGCACACTTGTTCACCATCATTACCCCAACCTGTAAACAGGAGGAGGTATCTGTATCAAGCATTTTTTTTACTATCAAGCACTTACAATAGTCGAGCGTTGCTGTCCTACCGACAGCTCTTGTTTATAATATAATAATTATACCATATAAAATTCTTACACCGGAGTGCCGGTACAGACCAGAATAGCTAGCTTGAATATAGCTGTTTACAACTTCATTCATAACAGCAAAATGACATCATTAGCAAGCAATTTATTCATAAAATGTGTGAGGGACTGGCATCATTTAAAAAATGTGACTGGGCGAGTTCGGGCTTATCTAAGATGGAGTGTGATTTTTTTATCACTGGTGTAAACAGTAGTAAATCCTGCCAGATATGCAAGAATTACTAAACTTAATGCCCAAAGAGAATGGACGTAGATTTTATATTATTTTATATTCTTAACTCAACATTTGTGTAATCTAATGTTTTGATACTCCTGATCTAATTTTTGTTTATTTTTCAGTTTTGCATTATTTAAGCCAAGACTGATTCTACACTTCAAGAAAAGACACCAGGCTAGAAAGATTAGGGTTTGTATTCCTTATATTTATGTCCATTTCTAATTATATGCCTGTTGCCTCTTTCAGACTTTTAACATCAAAATCAAAATCTTCTGTAGGCAACTTTGTGGGCAACTGATTTATTTAAATATTCGAAAATGAAACGCAAACACAATATCAAATTACAGTCAAACGTGTATTAAGCGACCGCGCAAGGGAAAGACCCAAAACGGTCGCTTAATGAAACGGTCTCTTAAGACAGTCAGCATGATATAAAAGTCAAAATTTATAAATGATATCTTTCTTATGCGGTAGGATTGTTTTTCAACTTCATTTTTATATAAATGTTGAATAATTAGTACGCTCCGATAATCTAAATGGATGCAAATGTAATAAATAACTTTCTGATATTTATTGACAAAACGGGGTGCAAAATAGTTTTGATCCATTACGTACATGTTTGACATTTTTTCCAGAATTTGTTGACTTCTCCGTTGTTTTTCCTTCTGAAAACCCCATTAGTGAAGATGTTTTCTTTTGTGCATTTTTTCATTTGAAATAAACAAACCACATCTAATTGTTACGATAAATTTAATTGCTGATAAAGTTCAAGGTCAATTCAATGCAGTCTAAATGTCAACAAGCGAAGCGTATACACCATCTCAGTAGGGGCGGAGCGTTGCATTATTTATCCGATATTATTGGATAATACACGTCACGCGTATACTTAACTTCATTTGCATACGCTAAAACGGTTTGGGAAATAGAGTTTTTCACACGTTTATTTGTTGTGTTTTGATTGTTGACACTTGTGACATTACAAAGCGGCGTTCTCTAAAAACACAATTACTTGACAGGTAAAAGTGGTCGTTTAATGAAAAGCTTTATCTCAATTAGTCTCTAAAAACACAATTACTTGACAGGTAAAAGTGGTCGTTTAATGAAAAGCTTTATCTCAATTAGGTGACTAATTAGCGGTCGCTGGTCGCGTTGAGCAAAAGTCGCTTAATACATTAAAGATATAGAGAGAAAATGATCGGGGGGAATTTAAAGTGGTCGTTTAAGACAAAAGTCGCTTAATACACGTGGTCGCATGGGCAAGTTAGACTGTACTAATAATTCTTTTAAAAAGTCTACGTGAAAAGAAACTTCATCACATATACACACAGATGAAAAACTTTTGAATTTACAAAAAACTATTTGTTGGATAAGTTGGCCGCGAGACAAGACAGATTTGACCATGTCGAGTCTTGTTAGAAAAAATTCCGACAACCGAAGAGAGGCAGTATTTTCTACAAACTGTACACAACTGTACACAACTCGACAAAACTGTACACAACTGTACACAAATAAAAATTGCGTAATTGACTTCATTTTTAACATTTCTATTGTTTTTGTACTTCTAATATTAACGGCAACCTACATGTATATACCACTGGTAACATACTACCGCAAGCATCGGTACCATTAACGACGAACAATAAAACCACTCACCAATGATTAGACCAAGAGATGAATGGTTCCACAATTCGAGTTAATGTTAAACAGCAACAGCAAAGGCTGTACAATGCAAGGCAAGGCAATGCAAGGAAAGAAAGCAAGGCTAGTTAGGAATTGCCAAGTAGTAAGGGCAAAACCTATTAACGAGTCAACACAATTACTGTTAGACCGTATAATAATTAGAAAGTACTGGGTGAGCATTTAAAATTTAACCTACAAGGTCAAGGTTCCTATCTTTAGGCGATTAGACCAGCCCAAAAACAAGGTGACCCTAACCAGCTAAAATATTCAAAAATCATGAATTGCGAATATATTAAATTGCGAGGCCCGCCTACCCCTCGATCGACAGAATTTTTCCGCTTTAGAGCGACAAAGAATTAATTGATTCAATGGCCCAATGTGGCCAACAGTGATTAAACTCATCATCAATTACAATCACATTACTATATGTGTCCAAGGAAAATATAATATGGAGAATGTTATTTCAGTTTAAAATGTCAACAATGTTCATCAAAATCTCTGACATGAAGAGTTAGCAATAATTATAGCAACAACAGTTTATACCACTAACACCGCGCTACAAGTCCTGCACTTCCGAATTTACAGTGATCTTTAACACATATCTGACACGTTTTATTTTAACCATATTTAACACATTATTTTTCTAACTAACTTCACATGTCAATAATATCCTTGTGTGTATTTGGGGCTCCATAGTCTTAGATGTAGTGGTATTTTCTCCCATAATTATTTTCCTTGGAAGTCCACAAAAACATGTCTATAACAACAGCCTGCAAAGTATAAAAAGTCACAGCAGTATCTACATCCAAATGAACAATGACAAACACACGCTTATATACAATTTACCAAAATATGTTTAACCTGTGACGTCACCTTTATGTTCGAAATCATAACTCATAAAATGACAGTTATTTATAATTAAGCAAATGGGGTGTGGCGGGTGGGTAAATTCTTTAAAACCAGTCAATCTGTACTGCAGACGTGTAAAGAGTGAGTTTCTGCACGAGTTTTGCCTTATATATACCATACCGGGTACACGTTATGCTCGAATAAGAAAAACTATCGAGCGTAACCAGATAAATTGTTTATCAACAAAATATAGCAGAGCATTTATAAAGCTGACGGGGCAGTATAGCAGATGACTAATATTTACAGCAGGACGACTTATATTTACAGCAGACGATGTTTTCTAAATAAAATAAATGAAATTATTTTAATATTAAAATAATTTATATTATTGAATTCATTCACTAATTCATTATAACTTCATGCATATTTTACAAGACAGTGATGAAATATTTTCACATTCAAAATTTTGGTAGAATTTTAGTATGTTTTTTTTTTGGGGGGGGGGGGATTATGCAGTTGGGACTGGGTCCTTAAATTCATCATTGATAAAAACACTGAGCATAACATTTACATTGTAATTGATAATTGATTTATAGACTGGTTAGCCTAATAGAAGAAGGGATTTGGGGGATGCATATAGATTTGCCCTGGTAAAAAAACTGACAAATCAGTTAAATGTGGGGGCATCTGTGTCCTATAAAAACATTTTTAGTTGTTTTATTAATTATATTTACACAGTCTTGGAATCAATGTGTTATTCTTATCTTTCTCTGAATAAACATATTTTATTTACAGGAGAGATATCTTACACAAAGGTATGATCAGCTCATGCAAGCCTGGGTGAAGAAAGTTGAAAAATGGGAAAACAACCCAAAGAGAAAGTGAGTTTTTGTTTTTATTGTTTTCTCCAGAAAATCAATTTTGATAACTGATCGGTTTGTACGACTTTGTATAGTTGTTTTGATGGTTTCTTTCTTTATATCGATAACTGTCTTTTACAATTTTCATTTCTTTTTCTTTCTTTGAATTGTAAATCAACAACTTTGATTTTGTATAGACTAACTCCGGAATAAGAATATTTGTGTTTTTTTTCTCAGATAATCTGTAGGTACAAACAAACTTTTAAAGTTACAGCTTTGAAATTAAGCACAACAGGTTAACTAATCTATTGTGAAGGGAAGTGCACCGTGAAGCTGTCATGGTAAATAGTTGTTTATACTTAAGGATTAGCTGGGAAAGACTGACATTTGCCCAGTTCCGGATAACATCTATTGTGAATCAAATGAAAAGATGTATGAAATATAACAAACTGTATATCTTGTAATATATGAAATATTTTTCCCTATATATTATCTTCAGAGCAAAAGATGCTAAATTGAGAGAATATTTTGAGAAGATTTTCCCGGAACTGAAGAAAGCCAGAGATGACAAAGAAAGATTGAGCAGGTATGTTTATGATTATAGTTGTTATAAACCTATAGTACTGAAACTGAAACAATAATCTTTTTGTCATAAGCATAGAGCCAGGCCAGCCATTCAGTTTTTCCCTGACACTAATATGTAAAAAGCTGTTAATATCTGTGTCCTAAATGTACATAATTAGATTTTTTGAATTATAAAAAATACTACTTTCAAATTACCTGTATTAGCAAAAAATATTTGTATATTTCTTTAAAAGCAACTGGCTAAGGCACAAAATCATTGTTAACCTTTTCCCTTATATAAGCGTGTTTCGACGGCTTTTTGTCCCCCCCTTTTTGAGGCCTCAAACAGTTAAAAAATGCCCTATTTAGGCCCCAAACACTGTCTTTTGTTTGAGAAATGTTGTTAAAAAAAGTGACCATTTTTTCGGCGCCGTCCCCCATCCAAATATAACATCAGGGGGTTGCCAGAAGGGGGATGTGCCCCCTTCTGTTTGGGGGGTTTGAAGGGGGGGGCGGAGTCCCCCTCATCGCCAAGAAAATTTTGGACTTGTGAGAGGCTTAAAATGACCCCAGGTCGATCATAAGGTAACGTGTAACCAACGCTGAAAAGCCTTTGACTCTATCTCAATCCCTTGAGAAGTTGCAGCACTTTGAAATAAATTTTGATGGAAAAAATCGAGGCAAAAAAGTGATTTTTGGCAATTTTGAGATGTCCCCTCGTTGCCATGGTAACAGGAAATTAAAGACTGAGCATGTCGTTACAAAAGCAATGGTCCAGTCAACATTTGTGCCAAGTTTGATTAGTATTGCAGCATTTTTCATAGTTTCATAGCAGTTTGAACTTGTAACAGGAGGCTTTTCAGTGAAAATGGCCATTTTTCACAATATGCTCATGGGGGAAAGGGTTAAACACTGAAAACCCAATTTTAATATTCAGCCTAAAATTTTTCCGAGAAATCTTATTTTATATTCATACAGTATTGATGTGTGTTAAAAAGCAGAGACATTTTATGTTACAACTTTCGAGAACCAGCCATAAGGTTATAGAAACAACATCATTATTTAACATTTCCGAATTTCATAAAAAAACTTTACACTTAAATGGGCCTGTAACTTATGTCTGGTTGCTTAGCTCATTAAGGAGAGGATCTGATTAGTAATCCGGGGCCACTGGTTCGATCGTAGGTGTAGGTGAAATTTCTCAGTCACAGTTAATCTCAGACATGGAATCTAATAGTCATTTGTTTCTCACTGCTGATTCAGAAACCATGTAGGACTAGTAGTCTGTCAGTTGCAGAGAAATTATGAATTCTATGGTTAGTTATCCAGTAAAGCTGGTTAGGTCGAACAACAGCCAAGTTTTGGCCAAAATCATGTATTAAAATCAGTGTTAAAATGAGAAAAGCAAACAAAGTTATGTAATGTATATTGTAGAGGTGGTACCCGCACTGGCATGCCAGTATATGCTAGGAGTGAAGCAGAGCTTGAACAGATTATGGATGGTATTCATGAACAAGAGGTAAATAAAATCTTAAACTATTTCTATATTCTTTAGCACATGGACCTTAGCTCTCAACATGCTCTATTTATGTAATGGATCTGTCCAGCTTTGAATATGAAACAGTCCATACAAAGTTCAAGGGAATTCAATATCAAAATACGAAAACTGAGCTGCCAACAGTATAGAGCCTGGTCTGAATACACAGATGTGCAGGTTGGCCTGGTTCTATACTGGTGGCAAAGACTGATCATTTTCGGTTCCAGCAGGTTTAAGGGTTGATATGTTGTTCCCATTTTGATATAGATACCCATTTGTTTTTGGACAAAAAGAAAGGACAAGCATCTGACTTTTTTGTTTTTATATGAATTGGAACCATTTGTGAATACGAGAGTTGTTTATTAAGTAATAGGACTGTGGCTGTAATGTTCACATCTTTTAATTTGCATACAATATTTTACAAGAGAGAAATATCAAAATATTTTCATCTTTATACAGTGAAGAATCAAAACAATATGTTGATAAATAACAATTCTGCAAAAATTACAAATAACAAGGGATATGACTGTTGTCCAATGCATGCTTACATTACAAGAAATAATACCTTATTTGGTCAGAATTGAATGTGTGCAGATTTGTCAGCCTGCTTGATGTTTACCACCAATCCTTCTGTAGCTCTTTTGAAAAAGTTGTTGCTAATATAATTACAATTTCCTACTTCCTCCCTTACCCTTTCCTGTTTGTGATCTTTAACTTTACCGTCTTTGAATTGCTTCCGCTGACTGAAAATAAGTGAGCTGCTGGCCCATGTATTTAGTTATGATTTTATCTTCTAAAACTTATCTGTTCTGGATACATTACATAAAATTTATCCCATTTTAAATTACATAAAATTTATCATGTGATAAATTACATAAAATTATTCTTGTAATGAATTACATGAAATTTATCCTATGAGAAATTACATAAAATCTGTCTTTGTGATTACATAAAATTATTGTGGTAAATTATATGAAATATATCCTGTGATGAAGTACATAAAATTTATCCTGTAATTAATTACATAAAACTTATCCTGTGATGAAGTACATAAAATTTATCCTGTAATTAATTACATAAAACTTATCCTGTGATAAATAACATCAAATTTATCATGTGTTAAATTACATAAAATTATCTGGTGATAAATTACACAAAAATTTCCTGTGATAAATTACATAAAATTTATCTTGTAATTAATTGCATTAAATTCATCATGTGATAAATAACCTAAAAAAATTACCGTATAAGTGGTTTTTTCTGCGGTGACTTTATTTCTGCGTTTTCTGCGGTCAGTTTCAGCACCGCAGAAATAAAAACCGCAGAATATTTCTCCATGTTTTGTTTTTCTAACGATATATGTCCTACATTATGACTTGTTTCCTCTAAAGTATTTACGACTAACGGATTAATTAATTAATTATAACGGTTAGCGGGTCATCGAGTTATATAAAATTGCTTTCGGTTAAGTATGTAATATGTGCTTGTAAGGAGGTACCTATTGTTATTTACCGGTATGCCAATTTATGAACAAAGAAATTTAAACATCATAGTGTTTGCCTGTACGCTAGAAGGTTTGTTTACCACTAAATCATTAAAACCATTTAAACCCTTATACTGCTAAATAATCGTCGTATACATTAATTGTTGTCTGATTTACAATAAACTTCTATTAATTTTATAAAATTAAAGATACTACCGGGGTATATTTTTCACACGTCATTTCACGCTGATCAAAATATGCATACTGTCTTTTGTTGCACATTATATTTGTTTGCAAGCAAACAATATAATTGTTTTTAATTACTTTATAGTTTTGCGGTGACGACGGTAAACAAAATTTTAATGCGAATGTGTACATGCAAATAAAATAGGTAGAGCAATGTGACTTTGATAAGATGAGCCGCATAATTTAAATCACGTTTTGTCCAAAGAATGTTCCGCAGAAATAAAGTCCGCAGAAATAAAAACCTGCCAAAATTTGGAAAAACCGCAGAATTTGGAGCCCGCAGAAAAAAACACTTATACGGTATATTGTAATAAATGACATAAAATTTATCCTGTGGTTAATTACATAAATTTATCCTATGAAAAATTACATAAAATTCCTATATGATAAATTACATAATATTTATCCTGAGATAAATTACATAAAATGTATCCTGTGGTTTATTACATAAAAATTTATCTTGTAAATTACATAAAATTTCTGTGATAAATTACATAAAATTTATCTTTTATAACTTACATAAAATTATCTTGTGATAAATTACATAAAATTTATCTTATATTATGACAGGAAGAAGATAGGAAGATGAGGAATCTAGCTGTTATACCTCCGATGATGTTAGACGCTCGACAACGTAGCCTCAAGTTTGTCAACAAGAATGGACTGATCACAGACTGTATGGAGGAATACAAGGAAAGGAAATACATCAATGTGTGGACGGCACAGGAGAAACAAATCTTTAAAGAGAAATATCTACAACACCCGAAAAACTTCGGACTTATTGCATCGTTCCTTGAGAAAAAGGTAAATTTTGTGACTGAACCCTGAATTATATTTGATGGTCATCTTTGACAATTTAACAGTTTATACTATTGAAGATTTGAAGCACATCACTTTGATTAGTTCTAAACTTTTCATGCTTCCATTGTTAGAATTTAGCATTTTGCAATGTACACTTTAGTTACGCTGCATAGCTTTACAAACCTTGATTATACATGTTTTACATGGTATTGAATTAAGAACCATTTATAATTATTTGTTATATTTTAGAACACCATGGATTGTGTGGAGTATTACTACAGATCAAAGAAGAGTGAAAACTACAAACAAATGTTGAGAAAACAAACAGTAAAGAAGAAGAGACAGCAACAGAAAGCACAGGTGAAAATATATCCCATAATTGCTGATCAGTTATACGGCTTAGTGATTTGAATTCAGGGTTCTAAGCATAATTTTTACTTTGCAAAAATAGTGTCATAGTCTTACATGATGTTGAATTTTCTGTAAAATGTTTTCTGTACTGACTGTGTTTTTAGCTAAAATATTCATAGAATTGTAGGAGTATCCTAGTCACCCATTGTGAGATGTAACCATTGCTTAGGATTTAGTCCTTTTCATCTCTCATTAGCCATGGGAAATAAGGTACATCTGTATTCACTTGAAACATATCATATATTTTTCGTTAATGCAAATGAGGAACATAATCGAAGACCCAAAACTCTAGCTTGGATTTTGACTGAATTGTTTCCCGTTGTGAAGTTTGAAAATTGTTAGTAAAGATTTTTTTGTGCAAACTTCTTCAATCACAGATAATTTCATGCTTATCTATGGTAGAGAAATTTTTTTACTAAGACCCATAACTCTATCTTAAAATTGTACTACAGTATTGAAATTGTGCATAATTTTTGCCCTTTTTAGACTAAGAAAATTAAGCTTGATTACTTTTGATGGTCATATAGTGTGTTGTTTCTGTGATCACTGATGTTAAATGATCCAGTCAAAATCTCTTGTAACTTTTTTTTCTTTCATTTCATATATAATATGTCATATGTATAGAACAACTTAGAGATATAAGAACTGAGTTTTTCATTTACTATTACAGCCACAAGCTGTGATACCGAAGGATGAAGGACTAGAATCAATGCCGTCATCATCTGACCTAGCGTCACAGTCTGGAACTTCAGCTGGAGAGGAAACTGTTAACATGTATGTATTTTTATTATATACTTATTATAAAAATAGACCGCCTCCGTGGTCGAGGGGTTAGAGTCGATGACTTCTAATCCAGGTACCTCTCTGGCGTGGGTTCGATCCCCGGGAGATGCTTTGGTAGTTTAGCGCGGAGGAAGGTTGTCTAGTACTGGTGTAACTCTCCAGGAACGATGGTTAGGAAACTACCCGCCTATATGACTGAAATACTGTTGAAAAAGGCGTAAAATGAAAGAAACAAACAAACAATTATAAAAATATTGAGAAATATTGATGAAATAATATGCATATTTTCATTTTCTGTATTTTTACTGTAAAAATTTATTTTTTCATTGCAGTGAAATATATTTGCCATATTTTCACTGATGTCTTGCAACACTACTTTCTTCTAAATTCAGCCTATACACACACTTTTATGAGAAGTCTTTTAAATTGTAATGCCGAAAAAAAAGAAAAAAAAATGTATGTAATAAACAGATCTTGTGGTATGAAAATTATCATATGTCACTCTTTGCTACTGCTACTTATATAATATTTATTTTCATACAACTGGATAAAAAGCTTGTTCAAGTTTTTTCTATAAATATTTATAGAAAAAAACTTGAATATCCTATATGTATTGAATATTAAATGTCATATTTTTTGATTTCAACTGTATCTTTCAACTGATATTCTTTCTATAAATTGAGCAAACATGAGTTTTCTTATTGTTTTGATATTACCTTTAGGCCATGTTAGATGTTAATTACCTGAAAAAAGTAGCTTTTTATATGGAATTATTTGTAATGAATGTCACATTATATAAACGGTGTAGTATTTTGACTTCCATACAAAACACTAAATCACTATAACTTTACTTATTTTCAAAAAAGCAACAGAAGCAAAAGATTGTTCAGGTAATTGGCCAATGAGAAACTCTTTTGAAACTATAATAGGACAGCATATGTAAAAAGCTTTTTGGAAATAAAAATAAAAGCATTTCTATGGCATAATGGGTCTTTAAAGTAGTGAAGAAATTACAGACAGAAATCGTTTCTTTTGAAATATGTGTCATTCTTAACTTGACATATATCTGTCCATATATATTTGCACTAATTGATGGATTGGACGTTTAGACTTGTTAACATGTGTTATTTTCAAACTCATTGTCTTTCACTGATGTAGGCCTGTGTCAGAACCTATTGAAGGCCTGTAAATCTCTTTGTCAGTGTGACTGAAATAATGCAAAGACTGTAACTTGAGGCCTTCCAATACAGCTGAATTTTCATAATGCATGTATTACTAAAATACCAGAGCAACATAAAGAAAGATGTGAAATTTCAAACTATTTTTAGAACCATAGGTGTTTTAGTATACAGTACATTTCATTATCTTTAAAGGTAGACCACCCCAAATAAATTTGGCAAAGTTTGTTCGAAGACGGTTAGTGATGCCTTCGAAATCGGCAACAATGTTTTTACAATGTTTAAATAAAGTTGTTATAATGTTGTTTGTATGGTCATTTTAGTGTAACAACATCGGCGAGCAGTGAGGCTCAGTCACGACCGGAATCTACCGTAACAACGAGCGGCAAGGATAAAGATGATGATGATAAAGAAATCGATGATTCGTCAGATGATAACGACCCAGTTAAAGGTGCTGATGGTGAAGGTATGCATATTCATTAGCTAGGCTCCTCCTCTTTTCTTTAATAGTCCAATTCCAGGTTAATAGATACTTATAGTTCTTTCTTTTTTATCAGAGATATGAAAATACAGCTTTGATCAAAATTATAATGTTATTTAAAAAAATGATTGAAAACATTATTTTGAATGGCATTAACTGAAAATTTTGTTTGATTTATCAAAATTAAAACTGTTATGTGAGCCATGATAAACTAAATGTTGGAAGAATGGATTTTTAAAATGAATTTAGATCCAATTAAGGGGCCATCTAGGCAGAGTGCTTAGTTATTGTGCCTCTCACTGCTGTGGGTTCGAATCCATTCAGGGACTTTGATTCTTTCTTTTGATTCTTTCATGTAGTTGTACCTCAGTGGAGTTCCTTTAGGGGCATTGTCATAAAGGGACCAATACAGCTAAAAAAACGGGAAAAAAAACCTGTAAACAATGTTTACTGAAGAAATGGAAATGAATAAACACCAAACACTTAGCATCTTTAATTTGAAGGCTTATAGATATATGTAGATGCAATTATATCGACCTACATTTGATTATTATTTTACAGGTGGGGTACATCCATGTGCTATATGTAAAACTCAACTGGAGCATTTTGGGTTGAGTCGACCTCTAACCACAAAGAACTGTGAGTTATATGGTATCATACAGTCTGACCTGACCCCTGAAATGAGAGTGTGCAGTAACTGTTGGTGTAAATCTGTACGCAGGAGGTATACACAGTAAGTATATAACTGTACTTTCCTAATATAAAACTGTACACAGGTATACAAAGTAGGGGTGTCATGGTTAGAAACAATGCTAGCCATTTAAATGGTGACCTAATAACTGTGTTTTACAATTAACTGACTGTGCTAATAAAATTCTTAAGATTTTCAACATTAACTTTGTTTCTTTATGACAAGATATGACATTTTGTTTGTATTCTGTTGTATTCAAAATGATTACGATACTTATCCAGTACCAGTTATTGAAGTTTCTAACTGGTTTTTACGTAAAAACCAACCATACACGTTTATACAGATAATATGACACTTGCACACTTACAAAGTGGTTGTAAATAATCTAATGGCCAAGATTTTTAAAAGTCACATTCAGGAAATGACTGATTTGCTACGATATTGGTCCATGTTAGAATTTTTTTGTCGAGAAAGCATTACAATAAGACTACCTTAATACATAACTTGCCGTATATTAATTTTAGATGCCCTGTACCATCATGTAAAACTCCAAAAAGAAAAGTAAAGAGGTTGAGACCACTTCCAACAAAGTGGGCAGAATTAGAGCCAGAAATAAAAGAGCCAATCATGAAGGAACTACGTAAGTATACAGTATTTATCTCATGTCTGAATTTAAACAATAATTGGATTATTTCTATTTCACAAAATTGTTTAGCACTGTATAAATTAATAAAGGGTTTTTATTTTTGTGAATCTATATCTTGATAAATGTCTATAGCTGGTCAGTTCTTCTATAATAAGGCAATGGTTTTTGGAGGCAACTGGAACCGAGTTGTTAAGGTTGTTGACTTCAAATCACTTGCCCCTCACCTATGGGTTCAAATCCCAACAGGGACTTTGGATTCTTTCTTTGTGAGGAAGCGGTATCAAGTTGCTTACAGAATGTTGGTGGTTCGTTCTACTCAGGTAACCGTTGATGCCTGAAAAAATGCATGGAAGTGCATGCATGGAAGTGCATATTCAAATATTTGAAATGGAGTTTATATGAAGTGTAAAAGCATATAACAAAAAAAGTTTTTGTGAATAAGGAAGTGAATTGTTATCCCTTTAATAGTAGTTTAAAGTTAGCCAAACAAATTTGACATAACTATAACTTTTGAGGCTATGCATCTCTTAGCTCCAGCAGGTGAGGTGGTTTTGGCCCCTAGTGTTGCTTTGAAGCTTGTAACACCCGAGGTTATCAAAATCATCTTTGTCGTTTCAACGCCATATGACCTATACTGTGTTGGTGCACCGTTAAATGAAACTATCTAACAACTGTTAGCTTCTCAACTATTAGTATGTTAATAATAATATACATTTCCCTTTAATTGAATAATGGACTCTTCCAAATTAAAAGCAGGGCAATTCCACTACAAAGTTTAAAGGGGTGTAAATGGTTAATTTTGTAAACATTTTAATATCTTACAGAGATAACAGATGAGACTATGAAGTGCTGCTCGGCGTGCTTCAACAGGATTGCGCGCAAGATGGAATCCAAACCACCAGTATCGGAACCTTTACCAGCCTCCTCGGAGCCAACATCAGAATCTAAACCTGAAAAACCAGAGTCTCAGTCGGCAGAATGTAAGTTGAGCCCGAACAGTATTAGTGGCCATTTTGAATGGACGAGGCCAGTACATTTATAAAATAGGTTATAGCATATGAAAATAAGACATCATCAGATTGTCATAGGTATTCTTTGCATTAGGAAAGAACTGTCATTATTGTCAAATATCTGGCAAATATCTGTATTACTTTAGTATCTTAATACAAGAAAAGTCATGTTTTATCATTTAGAACACAATGATTTGAGCCGCGTCACGACAACCAGCATGGATCCAGACCAACCTGCGCATCCGCACAGTCTAATCAGGATCCATGCTGTCGCTTACTAACTCTATTACAAGTAGAGAAACTGATAGCGAACAGCATTGATCCTGACCAGACTGCGCTGATGCTGGTCGCAAACCCACTATGTTGGTTTTGTGTGACGTGATTTATTACTATTTTTTTTCCACTTTCTTTGTGACCCCTTGATATTAAACCGTACCAAAGTGTATTTACTATTATGATCGGTATATTTCAAAAAAATATATTGTTGGTATTAATGATATGTATAATGATAAACATGATTTTATATTTTTAGCACAAGAATCTGGGGACTCTGTAAAATGGACAGATGCAGAAATAGACTTAGCAAAGAAAGGTACATATTTTGCATTGATAATCATTTATGATAAAGTATTATTATGCCCCCATTTTGAAAAAAAGGGGGTATATTGCTTTGCACTTGTCGGTCCGTCGGTCCGTCGGTCCGTCGGTCCGTAGACCAAATGGTTTCCGAGTGATAACTAAAGAACCCTTAGGCCTAGGAACTTCAAACTTGGTATGGTGATTGGTCATGACCAGTAGATGACCCCTATTGATTTTGGGGTCAAGGGGTCAAAGGTCAAGGTCACATTGACCTTGAAAGCAAAAACGGTTTCCGATCAATAACTAAAGAACCTTAAGGCCTAGGAACTTCAAACTTGGTATGGTGATTGGTCATGATCAGTAGATGACCCCTATTGATTTTGGGGTCAAGGGGTCAAAGGTCAAGGTCACATTGAACTTGAAAGCAAAAACGGTTTCCGATCAATAACTAAAGAACCTTAAGGCCTAGGAACTTCAAACTTGGTATGGTGATTGGTCATGACCAGTAGATGACCCCTATTGATTTTGGAGTCAAGGGGTCAAAGGTCAAGGTCACATTGACCTTGAAAGAAGCAAAAACAGTTTCCGATCAATAACTAAAGAACCTTAAGGCTTAGGAACTTCAAACTTGGTATGGTGAGTGTCATGACCAGTTGATGACCCCTATTGATTTTGGGGTCAAGGGGTCAAAGGTCAAGGTCACATTGACCTTAAAAGCAAAAACGGTTTCCGATCAATAACTAAAGAACCTTAAGGCCTAGGAACTTCAAACTTGGTATGGTGATTGGTCATGATCAGTAGATGACCCCTATTGATTTTGGGGTCAAGGGGTCAAAGGTCAAGGTCACATTGCCCTTGTAAGCAAAAATGGTTTCTGATCAATAACTAAAGAACCTTAAGGCCTAGGAACTTCAAACTTGGTATGGTGATTGGTCATGATCAGTAGATGACCCCTATTGATTTTGGGGTCAAGGGGTCAAAGGTCAAGGTCACATTGACCTTGTAGGTAAAAACGGTTTCCGATCAATACCTAAAGAACCTTAAGGCTTAGGAACATCAAACTTGGTATGGTGATTGGTCATGATCAGTAGATGACCCCTATTGATTTTGGGGTCAAGGGGTCAAAGGTCAAGGTCACATTGACCTTGTAGGTAAAAACGGTTTCTGATCAATAACTAAAGAACCTTAAGGCCTAGGAACTTCAAACTTGATATGGTGATTGGTCATGATCAGTAGATGACCCGTATAGATTTTGGGGTCAAGGGGTCAAAGGTCAAGGTCACATTGACCTTTTAATTAAAAACGGTTTCTGATCAATAACAAAAGAACCCTTAGGCCTAGGAACTTCAAACTTGGTATGGTGATTGGTCATGATCAGTAGATGACCCCTATTGATTTTGGGGTCAAGGGGTCAAAGGTCAAGGTCACATTGACCTTGTAGGTAAAAACGGTTTCCGATCAATAACTAAAGAACCTTAAGGCCTATGAACTTCAAACTTGGTATGGTGATTGGTCATGATCAGTAGATGACCCGTATAGATTTTGGGGTCAAGGGGTCAAAGGTCAAGGTCACATTGACCTTTTAATTAAAAACGGTTTCTGATCAATAACAAAAGAACCCTTAGGCCTAGGAACTTCAAACTTGGTATGGTGATTGGTTATGACCAATCAGATGACCCCTATTGATTTTGGCGTTAAGGGGTCAAAGGTCAAGGTCACATTGACCTTGTAGGTAAAAACGGTTTCCGATCAATAATGAAAGAACCCTTAGGCCTAGGGACTTCAAACTTGAGATGGTGATTGGTCATGATCAGTAGATGACCCCTATTGATTTTGGGGTCAAAGGTCAAGGTCACATTGACCTTGTATGTTAAAACGGTTTCCGATCAATAATAAGAGAACCCTTAGGCCTAAGAACTTCAAACTTGGCATGGTGATTGGTCATGACCAGCAGATGACCCCTATTGATTTTGGGGTCAAGGGGTCAAAGGTCAAGGTCACATTGACCTTGTAGGTAAAAACGGTTTCTGATCAATTTACTAAAAACGCCTAGGCCTAGGAACTTCAAACTTTGTATGATGATTGGTCGTGACCAGCAGATGACCCCTATTGAGTTTTGGGTCAAGGGGTCAAAGGTCAAGGTCATGACCAGTAGATACTTTATAACCCTTATTAATTGTTTGATCACTGGGTCAGAAGTCATGCATAATAACCTTATCACATGACTAATTGGCTGCTGATAGGGGGCATACATGTTTTACAAACATATCTTGTTTTGATGATGTCCGTATTTGTTAGTGGTATGTTGCTTGCATGGAATATGAATGAAAATTCAAGATTTTCTGTTCATTTAGACTTACGTTAAAGTGAATTACAGGCAAATCTTGTTAATAATCCCATCTCTATATATGATGGTAGAATACCAGTAATATTATTAAACATGTATTTCAAGAAAAGTAAGACTATTGTTATTTGATTATTGAAGGTTTTCCATGTGAATCTGCCACATTTTTAAGCAATTTCAACAAAGTTTGGAGTAAATAGGCTCTGGAACAGACAGATGTTTCCTATTTAAGAAAAGATTTTAAGTAAAAAAAAAAAAAAAAAAAAAAAAAAATAGGGACTGCATTATTTTGTTCTCTATATGAAGTCTCTGGTTGAGGAGGAATTGGTTCATCTAGGTTTCACTGTATCAAGAATGGTCTTTAACTGGTAGGATTGACAGTATTTAATTGAGCATACTGATATTTGATGATTTGTTGTATACCTTTTCAGGATTAAGGGAACACGGTAAAGACTGGGCTGCAATTGCAGTAATAGTCGGTACAAAAACTGAATCTCAATGCAGTTCCTTCTACAACAGTAACAAGAAAAAATACAATCTCGAATCCATAAATGCGGAAAAAGAAAAGGTAAATACAGTATAAATTTGCTTGTGTGTCAAATGCTTTTTAATCTATGATAATAAATGTTTAATCTTTTAGTTATGTTTTAAGAAGTCCTGATTGAGATGTTACATGTATTAATCTTTTAAAGGTCAAAGGTCAAAAGTAGAACTTGAAGGGGTTAAGGAGGGTAGTTGTTTGGTCTCTCTGGACCATTATGGCTAGATGGTTACTGTTTGTTTATATCCATTTTTGCTTTGATTTATATAGTCGATAAAGAAATTGACCTCATACTATTCATAGTAATCAGATTGGTTAGAAAAATTTGAGTGGCTTTCCTTGACAAAAGAAATATTTGTGTCAAATATGAAAGTTAGTAAATTAGTTGAATTAAGTATGATGATATTCTAATGGGTTGTTAATAATTTTATTTGACCTTACATGATGTTGGTAAAATAAGGTTAGATATATATGTATAACAACTATACACTGTCTGCTGTGTATTCCTGTAGATCATACTTTCCTTTTCAAAAACTGATAAAATTTCTGTTATTCTTTGTGTTTACCTGAATATTTTTGTCTTGATCATGTGTCACATCTATTTGCTATTTGTTTTTAGACAATATCTGTCAAATTACAACTGTCTTAGTAGCTCTTGAGAAAAATAAAGAGAAAAGAAAGTTCAGACACAATTCTTTGATTACTAGTTACTAGTAGTATACTGTGTTCTAGAATGATCATTTGTGACAGGTGTAGATAAAGGTATCTCGAAATGATTTTCATTTTTGACAATCGGCCACTGTGCAGAATTTAACATTCTAACACTATCGGATTTTTTTCTATATAAACAAAGAAGGCCCGAAGCGTGCATTATTCTACAACATATTTTTTCTTGACGTGTTAGAATGGAAATAGATATTAATTCTTCGTGCATTATTATATAATAATGCACGTTTTTCGTTCAAATGCTTTGTAATTAATCACTCAGGCCTATCGGCCTTCGTGATTATATTACTACGCATTTGAACTCAAACCGTGCATTATTCTACAACAATGCACTCAGAATTGATATCTATTTCCTAATTTTACCATTGAAAATTTTGTTAACCTGCAGAAAGTGTTTATATTCCTTTTTAAAAAAAAATGATTATTTTTTATTAGGTAATTTCTTTGTCACTGACAATTTTAATAATTGATGTAATAATTGCAAAATTTTTAGACTTAGTAATTTTTCACATGAATAAAATAAAAAAAAACAACAGTTTATCTAGTTATCAGATTGTTATGTTTTGTTGTTGCATTTCCCCATGCTAATATTGTAAACAATCTGGTAACAGTCACTAATTATTGGGAAATAAAACAAAACATAACAGTTCTTTTAAAAAAAAAGTGTAATGTCCATTTATGTAAACTGTTACTTTCAATATACTATTGTACCCAGCTCAAGTTCAAGCTACCATGGTACCCAGCTCTAGTTCAAGCTACTACGGTACCTAGATCTAATTCAAGTTTCATATGGTACCCAGCTCTATCAGTGATACAAATCTAGTATCAAATGATACTTTTATCTAAACCTGGAACCAGAACATCTACACCCATCATTTCTTTTAACTGTCTCATCATACTGTATCATTTTAACAGCCTAAACAAAAGAGTATTGGTAAAGTGAAAGTAAGTGACACCTTTGTTTAGATAATTAACCATTATAGAACTGTTTAAAATGGCAGTTTATAGACGCTTTTTCCTTTATTTTTAGCTTGGTGCAAATATATGAGTTATATATATATATTATGCTTTTTGATGGGGTCTTTTCTTTTGATGCACTGTCATTTGACATTGGGATAAAATAAGATTAGTTTATGGATTAAGAGTTGTTCCCCTTTAAAAGCTGTTGTTGTTTACGTCAACTGAGGCACACATGGAAGATCGGGAAACCGAATGTGTAAGCCTCACTAAATAAAGTGGTTACTTACTTACTAAAAGCGGAACTGTAAAATATAATTGCACTTTGCTTTCATTATCAGATATACTTATTGTAAGCTTAATTGTTGCTGTAATTATTCATATATCCATAACATGCTTATGTGAGATTTTAGGATAGTTTTATTTATGCCTCACACTGTCTGTTCGGCCTCAAAAAAGCTCGTCTTGTGCCCTGGAATGATGTATGTGGGAAAGTGGTCATGTGACGTTAATCCAAGTCAGCTGACTTATTTTGATTACACAGGGACAATATATATATAAAAGTTTTTTTAAATATTTAAGTTACATGTGTATAGAGTATTTGTCATTAATTTGTTTTGTTTAAGATGTCATCTTGTCATGGTCAATAGCTTGTTTTGTTTTGTTCTGTTTTGTCATATTTTGTGTACATTTCTTTTTTGATAACACTTTCAGTGTATAGATAGAAACAACACATTGATATGGCCAATGAAAAATCATAATATTTTATTCACCTATCATTCAGCTATCTGGAACCAGTTCACATCGTTATTTTTGGGTGGGGGTGGGATCCATGGCCAGTAAGTGTGGGTCATTAATTACGAATCAATTGCCCCTCAAACCCTCAAATTTACCCAGGAAATTTAAATTTTTGATTTCTTAAAGAGATGTCTATGGTTCTACTCAGGTACCTGTTAATGTGCCTGAAATAATGCACAGAAGGGCAAATGTCACCAGTCCTAACGTCTTCCTTCAACAGTAAAGCCATATGATCTTCACAGTGTTGGTGCTAAAATGAAAGTGCATCTTATGTTGTGGTTTATATAATTTATAGGAAGAAAATCCATTCAGTATTTAAAAAAAATTAGTGACTAAATATTATCCAGAATCAAAGCCATTTGCATTTTCTGATCTGCCCAATTCTGATCAGAATAGGTGCTATTTTTAGCATTTTCCACTCTGCATTTTGTCCAAAAGCCAAGTGGGTTTGACTCCCAGTGCTGGTGCCAAAGCCTTATCACATTTGGTTCTGGCAGATTAAGGTTAAAGAATTTCTATTTTCCATTGCACATTTTACAAATTTTATGTTTATTTAGATGCTTGTTTGTAAATATGCCTAGATTTTATGGTATATGCTAAATACTTACACACATTATTATTATAGCTTTTAACTTGTGTATTTAGCCAATTTATGTTTAGATAGGGTAATAACATTTATTGTATATACAGTAGCATACACACTCAAATATTTTGTCTTTTGTATTTTGTAATTTGATATCGAGTTTTACCTAATGTGATTTGATATCAAGTTTTAAGTAATGTGATTTGATATCAAGTTTTACCTAATGTGATTACATATCAAATTTTACCTAATGTCAACTTTTACCTTATGTGAGATTATGTGATTTGATATCAAGTTTTACCTAATCGAGTTTGATATATGTTACCAAATTTAGTTTATTACCAAATATGGTTTGATATCAAATTTTATCAAATGTGGTCTGATTATCAGATTTTTCCTAGTGTGGTTTGATATCAAATATTACTATTTGGTTTGATATCAAAATTTGACCCAATGTGGTCAAAATTTAACATTTTGGTTTGATATGAAATTTTACCAAAATTTAATGGGGTTTCAAATTTTACCTAATGTGGTTTGATATCAAATTTTACTTTATTGGAATAAATATTACTGTTGAGGGGTTAATATTATTTTGGGTAAAAATTTCTTATTTGCTAATTTTGCATGAATTTTTTTATCAGTTTTTTTTTCTTCTAAAATTGTGTTAGTCTGCACTTAAGCATGATTTTTTTTTTTTTTTTTAAGATATAAAAAGCTTTTGTGGGGAAAAAGAAAACAACTAGGGTGTCAATTTGAATTATTGTTGGCAAGCTCTTTTGTTTGAAAATTTCTTCAGTAATATAAACAACATTAAATTACAGTTTCCCATAATGAAAAAAAGGAAAGCGTTGAAGTTAAGATGTTTCAAATTTCTTTTTTAAAGATTTATATATTGAAACTTTATTTCAGTCAGTGGCTAAAATGTTGTTCTATTAAAGTGGGTGTTTTCTTATTGGCTCTTACTCTTTTTTTTGCCGAATCAGCATTTTAAATGTTATTTAAAAATTAATATTTTGTTTGTGTTTCAGGGCAATTAAGTATTGAAATATTAGCATCTAATATTGCAGAGTTATGATAGAATACTTATAGTTTTGTTTTCGATAAATATTTATTGACATTTTACCAGACAAGTTACAGTAGAACTTCAGTATGTCGAAGATTAAGGGTCTTGCATAAAAACTTCGACACAGTTGAGACTTCGACTCATGAATCGGTCTTAATTTAATGACAAGATTTGGAGCCTTCGATGTTAACAAGTGAGTTACAAAAGGCAGTTTAAATGAAGACAATATAGAGGAAAAAAAATTGGGATTTTCATTTTGCTTAGACACAGAGAAAATCAACTAATCGTAGTTGGACACATAGAAGTTCTTCTGTACTTTGATGCGATTGGTATGACATAATGTGACAATGTTATCAGTAGTTTGTTATACCACAGTGTTTGTTTTCTTACAGGATGATGATAATCGTACGATTTCAATATGTGAGAGCGTAGCGTCGACAGTGACAGCGCCCTCTGATGGTGAACAGATGCTGTCAGACAACGAGGATAATCGTGACACCGACGATAGCGGGACTGCCAGTGCTCCTAGTCCTAGACCTCTCCATCTTGATGACCGAGGTAATCCTAAAGTTTATACTTAAAGTTTGTAGTTTTTGGAAATTTTTTAATTAGTTACAGTAATTCTTATTTTGTTAAAAAGAAGAAAAAAAGCTATCACTGGTTAAGATAAAAATGTGAAGAGTTAAAAAAACTAATTTAAAAAAGTTCTCCAAACAAGCAGCGATTTCTGATTAAGACATGACTGTGACTAACTCTATATATGATTTTTTTGTTCAGATATGAGGAAAGATCAAAAGGCTGATTCTTCACGACCACCTGGTAGTGAACAGGGACAGGGACTTACAACGACATTGGCCACACAGAAATCATTGAGCACGTCGGAGGGCAGTCTCCGGAGTATACCGGACAACGACAGTACGGCCACATTGAGTGCGGATGAGGGCGGCACTCAAAATGAGCGACAGGGTTTGGTGCCGGCACAACAGCAGACTTTGTATCCTGGCAGTATATTGCCGTCATCTCTGCCAACATGTCAACCTGGTGAGTATCAGTTAATGTATTATAAGAACATCAGCCGTATCACTTCCATTATTAGGTAAACTAGTAAAAAAAATAATTGAGTTATCCTTCAAACCCTGACTTCCATGTAAGGGCAACACTTGGATGAAGGTTTTGCATGCAACTGCATAGAGGTTATTCACTTCAGGATCTGACGTTATTGAATATCACTGTGCAAGGCATGAACTTTGGCTTAAATATGTTCATTTTTGAACACAGAAAATTCCTTGTAAAGGAATTTAGTGAGGTCTTAAAGACTACATATGTTTCCCTTGTACTTACTATTTAGGTAAATTAGATTTATTTTCTTAGCGTTTAAAAATGTTCAGCTGATTCATCAGTGTATATATACATGTATGCTTTTTATACATTAACAGATATTGCAGCACAGAGAAACATTGCCCAGGTCGGGGCTATTGGACTAGGACTGGTACCCCGCACTGGCATTAGTCCTTCACAGAGTCCAGGTGGTAACTCAAACCACAGTTTCCCATCCAGGCCAGGCTCTAGAACGAGCCCAGCTGTTCAGTCCCAGATCCCAGGAAAAGAAAGTCGACCAAGTTCAAGACCCTCAAGTAGCCATGAGGTCCCTATTATAAGAGAAGCCAACCCAAATCAAGGTGGTACAAACGTGCTGGATTTCTCACAGGGTATGGCCATGAAGTCGTACCCGCCATATGCAACAGGTCGGGATGCAGGGGGCCAGCCACGACGTCCAGCTAGTGCTATGTCGGAGCCAGGAATGTCAACTCATAGGGCCATATCACCTCACATTCCACCTGGTACCCAGCCTCATATGATGATAGGTTTGTGTCGCGTTTTGTTGTGTTTTATGGTATACATTTTATACACTTGTTTAAAAAAAGAAAACAGGTTATGCTGGTGGGTTGCCCATCTCAAGGGGCAGGTGGCATTTAGATTGTTCTATATGTATAGATTGATATTAGTATATCTGGTCATAAATGTTCATTATAATCATACCTAGTGTTGCACAATTGAACCAGGTCTCTAGGTCAAAGATCAAGGTCACAACTTAGAGGTCACAGGAAAACAATTATCCATACGGCATAGGAAACATACATTGAATATTGTTTTATAACTTGGAATGATTTTTCATCATAGCAAGTCATATTATTGTGCTAAAAATTTAGGTCCCTTTGACCAAGGTCAAAATCACATGCATATTTTCCAAGGTCAGATAAAAAAAAGTAATGTGAGTTTAAGTCATCATGAATAAATTTATGGTATATTTTTAGTTTAAGATTAATATAACCCATCTATTATAGGAATATTGCTTGAAACAAAATAGTATTTATTTAATTATTATATCACAGGGTTGGATCCATCGCGTGTTGTTACACCGCCAACTGACAAGAAGCCCCAGAAACCAGCCACGTGTGTTCGAGATCTGATTTATTCAGCCATTGAAATGAATTTGAGCCGAGACACGGGCCTGGAGAGACCACAGGCGACACAAGACAGACCAAGTATGTTATTGATGAAATTCCATTTTGATTTAAATCATAATTTCTTGCAATGAGAAACTTGTATGATTATTAAGCCTTAATTGTACAGCAGCTCATAACCTTAGTGCAGTAATGACTTAACTCCTATTGAATTTAATAGGAGTTAATTCCTTAATGCTCCAAGGTGACAGTAAATACATGTACACCTTAACATTTGAAAATAAGCAGATGTTAATTTTGACTGTAAGTAAATGGTGGCTTATTTTCAAGACAGGCTTATTTTTGAGAAGGCTTATCAAAATTTAAGGGTATTATATGGTAAATGTATACATAAATGCGGTGATTTCTTTTGGCTAAAGTTTATGCTTTACAATGTCAATGAATAATTTCAGGTATGAAATAAGCTAAAATAAGTTATCAAGAAAAGGGATATTATAGAACTGTAAATATATGGTTAAGAATACCCAATTTATAGATTGTTATGATGTTTAAATCACAATAAAATGTCAATCAAAGAGATTTTTATTCTTTCTCAGGGTCCACAGATACCAGTGGCTTCAGGCAAGGACCTCAGCAAATGGCCCCTGGAATGCCTCATGACCTTAGAGCAACTGACCTCAGAAAAGATCCTCGAGGTCAAGGTTATGATCCTAGAAGCTCACCATACCAAATGCAAGGACGTGACCCGAGGGATATGCGTGGTGACCCGCGAGATCTTAAAGGTCCCCAGTCCGGAGGCATGGATCTGTCCATGAGGCAGCCTGAAGGTGTAGATAAAACCACTCATGGTTATAAAGGGGATCCTAGAGATTTTGAACCCCTTGGTTCACACAGGGGTGGCGACCCTTACAGGGGTCAAGGTGAGGATCCCCAGCAGAGAAAGGTGATGGCCATGGCAACCCCACCACCCGCTCATTCTCACCGGAGATCACCATTTCCGATGCAGGAAGCTATATCATTGAAGACAAGATCAGAGGGTATTGAGAAATCTCCCAGCATGTACCAGGATAGACATTCACCTAATGTCAGAGGTATGACATATTTGTTTATGTAATACATGTATACTACATTATTTCTTTCAAAACACTTTGCTCGCTATAACCTAGTTTTTTTTAGTCATCCACAGTTCTTATGTTATTATAAAGACACTTTAATATTGAAATTTTTTTTGATATTAAGTGACATCTGTTACATACTGTTTCACTTGTTGTAAAGGATAAACCTCAAATGAAGATTATGTATAGAAAACTTGCTGCAAAATACCATTATTTATAGTAATATCCATTTCCTTACTTACCCCTTACTAGGGGTATAACAACCAGTAGTGCCTTATCTTATGCATATTCCATTATATTCTGTATATTCTTTTCAGAAAATTATTTTAAATAATGATTTATTTGTCTTGAATTTGTCATATTGCATGTTTAAAAAAAAAATGTCTATTTTTCAGGTTTGCCACAAGCATCTTCCCCATACAGTCCTCATGGGGGTCAGCATGGGGGTAAGTCAATACCTCCCCCACCACCCCTTATCAACAGCACGAGTTCGAGACTGGCCAAGTCTCCCCCCTCTAGTCATCTACCTACCCCACCATCTGGCTCAATCACCCACGGTACACCAGTAGGACCACATACCTTACCTTCAACATCTCCCTCGGGTTGTAAGTCTATACTCTTTTTTTTTGTTTCAGCAACATTATTAACTGTGAATATTCTAACATGTCATGGTATTTTGAAAAACATTTCCTTTTAATCCCTGTTATTTATTTGATAATAAAATCATGCCGTTCATTTTGTGAAAGGCTTTTATGTCTTTGTTTAAAATAAAATTGAAATATCTGCATTATAAAAACCTGTCATGTACATTAACCCTGTGATAAACCCCACATTAACCCTAACTATTCTAAATATCTTAAATGGACTTGTCCATCTTTTATTCAGGGCAATTCCATTCTTGATTTTTAGGGATAATTTCCAAAAAGTTCTGACTGAATGGTAAGACCCTGATCAGATGGCACTATGAGTGATATTTATGACTAAATGCCAAATTATTTATAAGGCTTCATTTTAAAGGCACAGTATGCCTTTCTTGTTTCATTTTTAGGGCAAATATAATTTTTTTTAAGGTTTAAATAACAGTTTTAGAGCATGTTAGATGCTTTTTGCCAGAAAAAAATGAGTGTTGAATGCAAAAATTATTTGTCGTAAAAGTAGCGAAATGTAAACAAAGTAGTACATTGACTTCCATAGAAAATACTAAATCATTAAAGTAGTATTAAATGACAAAAAACAACAAAGCTATAGATGGTTTGGGTAATTTGCTATTGAGTTACTTTTTGGAATCAATAACAGGACACCAAAAACAGTAAGCTTTTGAGAAATAGAAATAAAAGCATTTCGGGAGCAAAATGGGCCTATAAAGATGGAAAAATATTACCTCAACTATGTACAATGTATAGATTATTATTATTACTAAACATTATTATTATCATCATGTATAGATTTGTTTCTCCTCTTGAACATGAACAAAATAATCTACCTATCTATTTCTGTGTTCTGTCAACTTCTTGATTTCATGTGTAGTTGTACAAAAGGATAAACGAAATTTGAGCCGCGTCACGACAAAACCAACATAATGGGTTTGAACCAGCATGGATCCAGATAAGCCTGCGCATTTGCGCAGTCTGATCAGGATCCATGCTGTTCGCTATCAGTTTCTTTAAAGGGTTTGTAAGCGAACAGTATGGATCCTGATCAGACTGTGCAGATGCGCAGGCTTATCTGGATCCATGCTAGTCGCAAACCCATTATGTTGGTTTTGTCGTGATGCTGGTCATTTGTATTGGACTACAAAAGGATAAACAAAATTTTTATAGGGCTACAACAGGATAAAAGAAATTTGTATAGGGCCACAAAAGGATAAATTAAATTTTTATTGGGCTACAAAAAGATAAATTTGTATATGGCTACAAAAGGATATATGAAATTAGTATAGGGCTACAAAATTATAAATGAAATTTGTATAGGGCTACAAAAGGATAAACAAAATTTGTATAGGGCTACAAAAGGATAAAAGAAATTTGTAAGGGGCTACAGAAGGATAAATGAAATTAGTATAGGGCTACAAAATGATAAATGAAATTTGTATAGGGCTACAAAAGGATAAACAAAATTTGTATAGGGCTACAAAAGGATAAATGAAATTTGTATAGGGCTACAAAAGGATAAACAATTTGTAAGGGGCTACAAAAGGATAAAAGAAAATTATATAGGGCTACAGAAGGATAAAAAAATTGTACTGTTTCTCAATTAAAGCATTTTCCATTTAAGCAATGAGACCCCAGCAGCCAAATGTTGCACGTGGATCTATAACGCAAGGTACACCCATGCGAGAAATGGGACGAGGAATGATGCATCCTGATCAAGGAGCACCAAGAGGTCAAGGTTAGTTCTTCACTTACATTTACCATTCAACTTTTTTGATGGGGTCAATGTTACTAGAGCTGAAAATAGAATTGTTTATTTCCATTTGTTTTACAATGTGATTGTATCAAAGAGGTGTCTTAGAACATTGGTATATTCTTGTTAGTGCATATAAGTAATTATAGTAAATTTGTTAGATAATCAGCACATATTGTTTTGCTTTTCTATATGGTGGGGGAATCACATATTGGCTTATTTATATATCGTAAATTCTGTCCTGTATTTAGGTCAGTATGATATGCGTATGATGGAACAAATGAGAGGCGGTCAGTTTGACTCGCGTATGATACCTGAACAGCTTCAGCGTATGCACCACCAGTCATATCCCCAGCAAGCTCAGTATCAATACCAAGCCTCCCAAGCGCCTCCCCAGCAGCCCTCGGATTATAACTCCAAACAGACTCTCCTTGGAGACTTTATCACTGCACGGCACCCAAATGAGACACCCGCCATCACCGACGGACAAAGATTTAAGGGATCCCAGGGATCAGAGTGTCAGTCCACGAGCACCGGAACATCAGGCAGGGCCACCCCAGGGACAAAAGGGGTACCAAATGGACCCAAGGATGGCGTACCATATTCCTGTATCTAGTTACATGCAACCTGGTCAGCAACCTCCCTCATCATCTAGGTAAGTTCTAACCTTTTTAACGTAGTGGTTTGAATGTTATGCACAAAGTCAATTGTAACCATGGACCTCAAACCTCAAGGAGTAGCAGGGACTTTACACACCTAGTAAAGTGGTCACCTATGGAAATAATTTAAATCTACACTTTGTTCTCTTCCTTGCTCTTTGTCCATTTTGGTGTCGGAACAAAAGCACTACATTGATTCACCATTGGTTTCAACAAACAAAAAAGTAGGCGGATCTACGAGTTGGCTCTGCCTGAAATATTGCTATAAATAGAAATTTTGTGTTTAAGAATAGATTACTTTTCCTCTTAATGAAATCAAATAAAAAACACACACAGAGTAATGATGGTGTAATATATGATACCCTCAAATTTTGAACTTATCTATTAAACAGGGTATCACCTCGACCCTCCTCGAGTATGCCATCCCCTCGGGATGACAAGGCTGGCTCTCCTTGGCTGATGGCCCAGAGACCAAGTCCAGGAAGTCACCCCAGTCCTCATATGGACCCAGGTCATCAGTACCAGGGTCAGGGGCCACCAGGCAGACCAAGTATCACTCAAGGAACGGGAAGGCTTTCTGTTATCACAGATTCTAGAAGTGATGAAAGGTAAAAAGATTGATTTTTTGATTGATTAAAGAAGATGATGTAGTATTAAATAAACTAAAAAGGCTTTTTTTTTTCTATAAACTTCGTCAATGTAAAGATACTATTTCATGAAAGGGCTCCATTTAGGTTTTTTGACAGTATTTAATTTCAATTTTTTTTATTTTTTTTTTTTCATATTTTTATACCCTTTAATGAAGGTCTTTGCCAATAACTTCTGTTCAAAATTTCAGCTCACACAAGTTTTTCGAGAATAATGACTGTTATTGTGCAAAACTACCTGGAAATGGAAAGATTTTAAAAACTTTTAACTCAAATCAGGCCAAGAGTCAGTCACACTTAATTTAATAGATTATTTTCTTATATATTACTTTCCATATTTTCAATTTTAAGTGATCCAATGAAAGGTTTTTCAAATTTTATGTTATTACACTTTTTTGACCTCAGTGGAGCTCTTTTGAAATTTAAGTAGCTTTTGATAATTATGTTTTAGTTAACATGATTTTGTGTATGTTTTCAGATATAGGAATATCCCTGATAGTTCCGGGGCACACCACTCTCCTCGTGTCGGGCCAGGGGAAGGTTACCTACCTATGCCCTCACAATCCGGGGACCACCTTAGAAGGTCGCCAGCCATAAATCCCGACTACCCTCGTCAACATTATGATCGGGAACGAGACAGACAAGAGAAAGAGATGAAAGATAGAGAACAACAGATGGCTGTACGAGCTGTTCGTAAGTATAGATTGTATACTGTAAATGACAAGTTTGTTCATGTGTAGAATTTAACTGTATTTATATTGGCAGTCTGTATGTGATTATTCTGTAGTTTACCAATACCATAGTAATCAGTATGTGCTTTTCTATATTAAGGCTGTTCATCGTATATACAGTGTAACTTACATGAAATCCAAACCCCATTTGGAGTAGTCAAGAAATTCAGAACTATCACACTTTAGTCAAAGGCTTGACATGATTGACAGGTTGTGATTCTCATAATTGTTGAGAAAAAAAATGTTATAACCATTTGGGAGATACTGATATTGTGTCGTCTTGTGTAAGACTTTCAGTTTCTGGATTTAGTAAGAAAATTTCAATTGATATAACACAAATCTTACCAGACAATTGTGCACAATTCTGAATTTAAATGTTCTGGAAAAAATTTTGGGACCTAGAAAATTTAGATTTCAAAATTTACCAGTTTTTAGAAGTTTCAGAATTCAGATGTCTGGATAAAGTGTAATCCTACAGAAGCTTAAAATATCACAAAATTACATGAAAATTGCAGGATCGGTTTGATTGAGTCTGTACATTAGGGATAACAAAATAATGCAACATCCCTCACTGTGTCACGCCCCCTAGATATGCTTTATATGTATAATGAGTGTTCATATTAACATTGAATTTCATTACAGGAGAGCAGTATCAACAAGGGGTTCATCGTTACGAGGAACAAAGAATGAAACAGGAGATGAAGCATGAGGAGGCGAAGATGAACGAAAGAGCACGAGAGGAATACATGAGCAAGATGCGAGTCGGTGAAGATCCTAACAAACGGTCCCCGAAATTATCCCAGCCTACTGACATTCTTAAAGCTTTTGCAACGGATAATCAGCAGGGTCAGAGAGCTGCCGGGAAACAGCCGAATGATGGGAATGCAGCAGGTGGTAAAGGAAATCGGAGCATGACCGCGGCCTGTTTGATTGATGCTATAATTGTCCATCAGATTAATCAATCAACGGAGGAAACGCCAACTTCTACGACGTCAGTAAGCCAGGCAGGGAGTAAGCCCGGGCCAGTTAAACAAGATGTTAAAACATCCATGCCAAACGTCCAATCAAGCACGCCTGTAGGTCAGCTTTACAGGCAGACTCCGCAATCTCAACAATATCCAGGTCAAGGTAAACCATACATGTATAAATTCTCTCGTACATTGTTTGATAGATCTACCTGTTGCATTTAGCATAGCGTGGAGACCTTTTGATTTATAGACATTTAAGTTGATTAATCAAGTCCTAGATGTAGCATATGTTTTTCTGAATATTTCACATCAAGAAATAATACTTTTAAATGATTTTGTATTAGTGTTTCAAATAAACAGGAAAGAACTAAATCTTGTAGGCTTGACCTCTTTGCTCTGTATAAATACAATACATGTACATATAAATACTGAATATATAGATACAAAAGTCAAACCAATTATTTTTATAGCATGCTTATGGGGAAAGATAAGTTAAATTGTAAATAAACTTAATGCGTAACAATACTGATATGACTCATAATGACAATTCTTTATAGTTACTACTACTTTGACATCTATATTTCTAAATATAATATGACATAACATTATGTTTTCAGGTCAGCCTGCTCAAGGTCATCTAGGTCAAAATCAAGGACATGTTGGTCAAGGTCATATGGGGCAGGCAGGTCAAGGCTATCCACCACAAGGTCAGCCACCAGTAGCAGCTGGTCAACAACAGTATATGAGTCAACAATATCAAGGTCAAAAAGGTCAACATGAGAGTAAATCACCACCCGCTCAAATGGCAGGTAAGAGATCACTTTGATATTCTGTAATGATAGGGGGTATATAGGAGTCACCTTGTCAGTCGGTCTGTCCGTCAAGGTCACCGTTACTAAAAATAGAAAAATGGTTTCCAGACAATAATTCGACGGTCTAGTGCTATAAGGGCGGAAGTAGTACTTGCGCCCTTTTACATGTTTTTACGCCATTCGAAGCAGAACGTCACCGCGCACCTGCTGACAAAATATCTTTACCCTAGCATTTAAGTTGGCTTCAATATCGAAGAATGATTGGTAGGGCGTAAGTGCACCGAGCTCAAAAGGAACATTTTAAAAGGGCGTAACTACACCATAACTACACCGTGCTCAAATTTTATAAGATCCTAAGTAGCAGTTAGGCCCTTATAAGATTTTGATACGTTAGTTCAAACAGATAGTCGGATAATCACACTTATGCACGTTAAGACTTTGTGTCACGAGTCAGGGACATACCTTGACACATTTAAGGATACACTTTAAAGATAAGGGGGTAAAACTTAATCACTAGAAACAAAATGACATGATTAAAGAAATAGCAATATTGAATTCTAACAGGCGCTTTGCATGTTTCGTAATATATAGGCCTCCGGTTGTACCTATCTATAATCAGGTGGGAGCGGGAGGAATGTCCCCTCCCATAGACCGAGAAATTTCCAAAAAGGAAGCAACGATATTGCATTAAATTGTCTTTATAAACATTCATAATTTTTGTCATGTTAAAGAATGTTTATTCTACTCCGATAGCTTCATGTGGCTTCATTTTCAACAATGTATCTTTGTGCAGTAAACACTTTAGAAACTGACAAAATCCACACCAATTCTGTTAGAAGTCATTCTAAGATGGCAGGAGACACCGTGTATGTTAAGCTTGTAAAAGGGTCGAAAGGACCCAGATTACATAAAAGCTAATATGAATAATTTCTTTACGGGAAAACTGTTAATTAATTTTTAAAAATAATAAAAACACTTTGTGACGGGAATAGACTATGGTATAGTAGCATTGAGTTGTTAGATACAGTTGACATTGCTTAGTCTTAGTGGCATTGATCTAAAGTTGATTGTTAATTACAATAAAATTTGAATTTGGATCTGTTAGTAGTATAAATAGTGTATTTTTTCAAAATTTCAAAGTGCTTTTAAGCTTGTATTTGGCAGTTTTTTTTAAGTAATTCTAATTCCAACAATATGTACATGTATACATGAATACATGATTTGATGATAATATTTCATGTGTATCCTATGAATGATCATTCATTCATGCCTCAATACAGAAAAAAAAAGATTTATTTGTGTATTTTTTCTGAAAATGTATATTTTAGTTTTCAAAAATATTTTCAACTTGCTTGAATCAGGCTATTGTAACAAGAACCAACGGTTTAACTGTTCAAAACCCTTAAGGGCCAAGGTATTGTTTCAATGGGAGCAGATTCAAGTGTGTTTAGATAAGCTTACAACTTCCAACACAACCGAACTTAAATAAATTTGTATAAACTAAACAGTTAAAATTTGTATCAAAGTTGCCTTTATGTTTAGTATTAGCTGCCGTATATGCATCATTGTACATTAAGCGTTAATAATGTTCCGTCCTTGACGTTTTAGTGCTTGGGTGAGCTTTTGTCTGTGATAGGAATATGTCTGTCGTCCGTCGTTAACCACAAGTTCTTTAGAAATATCTCTTCTTTAATCCTAATGTGGAAGTACAACCTTTTCCAATAATGGTTTCAATGGGTCACATGAAACTACGAAGCAATACTCAGAGCTAAGATAGTTAACATGTAGCATTACTACGTGGGTTTTCCACACACAGAATGTATCAGTCATTTAAGTTAATTCTAGGAAAGAATCAATGTGTTGTAACTTCTAAGGTAAATTATATAATAAGCAGCTGAAAGTTAATATAATGGAACATAGAAACTTTTCTTAATTTAAAATTATGTAACAATTACAATCAATACGTGTTTTATTTATCTGTCATGTAACCTTCACATACAATGCCATAGGATAAAAGACAAAGGATACTTTAAAAATGGTCACTTATTATAATTCATTATTGTTATAGATAAAAACAATTATATAATTGTATTTAAAAATTAATGAATACACTAAAATCTAAAAGGGCATATATGGTAGTTACGCCCTATTAAGCTAAGTCGAAGTAACACTTTTAAACAGCGTAACTGCTAGTTACGTCCTTATAGAATAATTGGCCGATGCATGAAAATGTAAATATTGTAAGGGCATAAAACGGATTTCGTGGTATTTTATAAAGGTGATGGGTTATTTGAATTCGAAAAATGTTTTAAAAATGTCGATATTAGTTGTTCTAAGTGTGTCCCAAATTTTATCATGATTGATAAAGGATCAAAGTCTGCAGACAGTTTTTTTCAATTTCCCAAAACTTGTAAAAATGCATTTACGCCCTTATAGCACTAGACCGTCGAATTATAGTTATGAATGAGATATTGTAATCAAACTTGGTGTATAGCAAGCTTTTATGAAGACCCTGGTTGGGATTGCAATTAATTGAAATAATTCTTTGTATGCAGTTGATACTTCATTTACTTTAGGTTGAGTTCAAATTTTTTCTTCAGACCACTTAATTTTCAAAGTATCAAAGTTGCTGGCAGGGGTATTTATCACTTTCAATGACAGCTCTAGTTTTAAACTATTCTATTTCAAACTGTTTCTGTCAGCCAATGAAATGATCATGGGAACAAGGATTTACTAAGATCTTTTTTCCTCTGACTTTGACAGCATGTGTACAACTGTTAGACTAGAGCATATGTCATAGCAATGAAAAATTATACAATTTGGACATGCTTTTTTACCTTGGCTATTCTTGTATAGTGAGGCTATCTCACTTGTCAGTGCAACTTCTTGTACAAAATCATATCTTGTCAACCACTATGATGATATTTACTTGTTACTTCACACACTTATTTGTGATCATAATAGGATGTCACTATCTAAGGCCCATAACTCTAGTATAGATTTAGACATAATTATGGCCCTTTGTTAACTTAGAAAATCCTGGTTAAAATTTACCATGCATCATGGATATGCTGGCTGATCTTGGATTCTTGGTCTGCACTGGTTGCATAGGTATTTTCAGGTGTGGCTAGCAGAATAAATGTTAAGTTATGTTAATTTTGTCAAATTTTACCATATTTTCTGTACAATAAAAAACAACATTGTTTAACTCTAGTACAGTAAGCTATGAATGTATAATTCTCGATGAATTGTCTTTATATAGGTAAAAAGAGATGGATGCATTCCCCAGTGCCAACACAAGGTCCTATACAATAAAAAACAACATTGTATAACTATAGTACAGTAAGCTGTGCCATCACAAGGTCCTTCGGGACAAAGTTACTCTCCGGGGGCCTCCACAAAGTCAGACCCCGACAGCAGACCTGAATCAAGACCATCAAGCAGAGGTTCAAACAGTGGTCCAGCTAGACCACCACAGGTATAACAAAAGGATTCTTTTTTTTCTAATCAAGTTGTATGTGTCACATAAAAAATATACAGTAAAAACCTGCTTTACGACCACCCCGTTTTCGCGACCAACCCGCTAATACGAACAATTTTTCAAAGACCCGATTTTTTTATTCTTTATTTTAATGGTCGCTAACCCCGATTTTGAGACCACCCCGATATTCCGTAATACGACCAGTAAATTCAGTCCCATTTCGTAAATCCTGTACATTTTGAAACCCATAAATACGACCACGGGCACTTTCTCACCTTGATATTGACATGCATGTATATTGCTGAAATCTTTTTGACACGTAGTGTAAAGAACAGTTGTCCTAGTTTTACGACATTTAACGACATCCAATTTACGGCAGAGGTCAAGGTTACTTTGTATCACACCCGGAAATGATCAATAATATTGTCGATAATTTCTTAATTTCACACCTTTAATGTCATAACTGGAGGATTAAAACAACAAAATATTGAACAGAAAAGTTTTTTAGAGGTGTTGCTGCTATCATTGTCTCTTTCGTTCCATAATTTTAAACAAACATAAACATGATACGATTAGGTTTTTGAAGTTGTTATCGGCGATGAAAACTGTGAAAATAATTAAAGGTGAATTGGTCGATGTGCTTTGTAGTAAAATGGTGATTTAATTGAGTAAGTCATGTCATTCTTTTAACAAGAATGTAAAAATATGTTTGTATTTAAAGATATTCATAATACATTTTGTACCTCTAAAGAAGTTTAAAAATTTTATAATGTTAAAAAGTAAATAAAATAAATGAAAATAAAAAAATAATAGTGTATGCTTAATATCTTCTCATTTGAAATAGGTTAGCCCAGAATTAAACATGTGTACAGTACATGGTTTTCTGTTTGACCAAACTCATTAATGAGACCAACCCACTATTAAGACCAGATTTGTAAAGTCCCTTCACTGGTCTCAATAGCGAGTTTTTACTGTATTGTTATGATAGTAAGAATGGTAATGTTATGACTTTTCTGATGATGAAAGGCCAAGGTACCACTTTAATTATTTTTTATTGAGTGCGCAATTCTGTGGGAAAAGATTTTTTAATAACATACTTTTTAATCTACCTGGCTGGAAAATATTCAGGACTAAGGGAAAAGGTGATGAAATCAAAATAAACCATTCATCAATGAAGACACTCAAAATTGGGTTTAAAATCATGTTGAACCCCTTCTGTTTGAAAAAATTTCTCTGTCATCCAAAGTAGAAAATGTTTGGTAATGAACTTCCCTTCATCTTTTATGTGAAATTGTTGATCAGTAAAGTTTCCTCATTCTTTGGTTTTTAGAAATGTTTATTAATAAACTTTCTTCTAACTGTGGTGAAGAGATGTTTTATGTCTAAACTTTCGTTCACCTGTTTTGTAGAAATATTTATTAAGTTGTCTCCATTTGTAACCTAGAATTGTTTATTAATAAACTTTCCTCCATTTGTGATGTAGAATTGTCAAACTGAATATAAGCTTAAACTAAACAATTTACTTATTTCAGGATTCAGCATTACGTCAGGCAGTGTTGGGATCTGCTGACCGACAGATGACATTAGGTGACCATATCAATGATATTATACACAAGGACTACGAGAAAAATAACTCATCAACTCCTCTGATGGTTGGAGGGAAGTCCTTCCTTAGTCAGATTAATGGGTCCATACAAGCTGGTATGTGTGGATTAGATTTTCCTCTTTTTTTTACAATTAGAAATTTTCTGTCACCTTAGTTAAGTAATGGGTTAGCTTCTATAAAATTTAAATGTAGTTAACCTGATACTACAAGTCCAATTGAATATCTGTTTCGTTTGCAAAATGGATTTTCTTTTTAAGCAAATAAGACAAATTTGCCTTCTTTCAGTCTTATTTGCTATGTAAGTACACATTGTGTTCTTTTTATAAAAAAAAATACTAAATGATAAAAAGGGAAAAACATTTTGACTTTTTGTGTTATTATTGTATAGTATTTAACTGTATGAAGTTTAGATGTGCTGTTTAATAATAATGAAGGTCATTAATTATATCTGAACTGTATACTACAATAATAATAGACCTTGCTGATCTTGATTTACACTAGTCCCATGGGTATATTTTGTTGCCATCCACAGAATAAAGGTTGATTAATCAAGATAATACATAAAATTTGTTGTTTATTGTTATATGAAAATATCTTCAATCTTTTCTCTGAATTGAAGGAATCCTAACTGACTTAGGTCTTGCTTTATTTTATCATAATTTTTCAAATGTCCGACACTTCTTTATGCCTATATTTACATAAATGTGTTTTACTTTGTATCTTTACAAATATCTTTAAAAAGTTTATAACAATTTATGTACATGTACATATATAGATGGTTCAGGAGGGAGTAAAGTTGTGACCACGTCTCGAACAAATACTGTGTCAAGTACGTCTGTCACGATGGAGAGTACAACTACATGGACTACGGCACCGTTGTCTACCACCCAGTCGGACGGACAGAAGACACAGGCTCAAGCTTACTCTGGTCCTAAAAAGTTTGGAAAGTGGCGACAGGTATATATATGTCAGCATGAACATATAATTTTTGTAGTTGTTTTGCTTTGAATGATGACTTTTAGGAAATTCATTGTCAAAAAAAATTAAATTATGCATCCCAGTACAGATCGGGGAGCGGTGGCCTAGTTGGTATTCACTCTGGGGTCATGGGTTCGAGCCCAAATCGGGTTACGACCATGTTTCTTCTTATGACACTTGGTTCCAGGAAGCGGACTCGAAAGTGATTAATATAAATTGAAAGAACTAATTTTGCAATGTAGTTTAAACACCAAGGATAGATCAGGTCAGGTCTGAATTTCTTTGACAATTTAAACTGGCCTGGCTCTGTCCTGATTTACACTCATTTGGAACTCACAGACTTGTAAAGGAACCATGTTCTGAAATTCTAAAATTAGACTTTGTTTTAATAAATCAAATATACTGGCATGCGAGTAGTTCTCATACAAAAAAAGTAATTTCTTAAAAACTGTATTTCAATAAGCTTACTGACCAAAAATTTGATGTTAAACATCAGTATTCGGCTTGTCACACAAATCATGGACATCCCAATATGGTCTTAATATAGAACAACTTTTAGTTATGAGGCCTTATATAAGGTGCTGAAATTACCCAATATTTTCTATGAGAAGATGTAGTTTGAAGAATGCAATTTAAATCAAGCCAAAAAAAACAGTAACTGCTTTTGTACTGGATTTGCTTGCATGCCCGTAAATATATAAATTTTTCACATTAAAAAAAAAAGCAATTAAATCTTGTAGACTAACGAGCAAGCCAGCAGCACAGGTCAACAAATGGAAACTGGAGGAGCTGTTTCCCAGTCTAGCAATGACGAGCCGGGTTCCAGACAGCAAGAAGTTGATTGGACAAGACAGATGAGACCTGACCAATCACATTCTCCCAATGTCACAGGGGGTCAGCCTACTTCGCCACCAGGTAAAATATATGTTTTGGAAAGTTGTGGAATTAGTGCCTGGAATAGTGTCCATAAAAGTAAGGTGGAATGTTGACATCATTCAGACAATGTACAAATCCCACTTAGCATAATTTGATAACAGTTTTGGGCTGTGGACATTGTATTTGAAAATCAAGGTTATTAATAACTTTTAATGGGATTCATCTTATAAATTTAAATAAAGGAAGCATTTGTGTATTTTATCAAAGTAAATGACTTTTTGGTAATGATGTGCTAACTGACGTTATTACAAAATGATAGTATGACAAAAGTTATGTACTCTTTAAAAGCAGAATGTATATGCACATGAAATCAAAGTTTCCACTCAATAACAATTGCAATATTTTAACAATTTTTCTTGTATTTAGTTCCATCCCGAAAATAAAATTAGTGTTTGGGTGTATTATAAATCCCACCCCCACCAAAAAACAAAGACCAACAAATTAAAAAAAAAAAACATAAAAATTTAGAAAATAAAGTGAATATCGTTTGTTTGTTTTTGAGTTAATAATGGAATTTTTTTTCCAATATACAGGTCAGGCTGACAGTAGCAGCTGCCCAGGCGAGGTAAAATCTAGGAAAGTTATGGGTATACAGGACTCTGAGGTCTCACCTCTAGAGTACGTACAGAGTAAGATAGCTCAATGCCGTCATGATGACTCTAGCGATGGTAAACTCGGACAAAGTAGCCAGCAATCTACTACAGACATGCACCAGGCAATGTCCAGCAGAGGTCCCCATTCACAGGTAAGTTTGAAGTTTTACCTTGTTCTGGATTTAGATTGTGATGCAGTGTGAAAGGTGAACCTTGCAGTACAGAATTTGTGTCAATAAATTGATATTATAGATTAAGGCACAGTCCATGGATGTGCAGACTGGCTTTGGTTAAAAAGGTGACATAACATTGAAGTTAGAAACATATTATTTGAATTGAATGAATTTATATTAGTTTATACAAATTTATTTTAGTTTGATTGTTTTGGAAGCTATAAGCTTATTTAAACACTCTCGGATCCTGGAACCAATCAGTACTTAGCAATGAATATAAAGTTTCTTGCTTAAGGAAGCAACGGCTGACACTTGACAGGGTTGAAACCAATGCAGTCAGCAATTTTTAGATTACTAGATTGATATTATACAATAAATATTATTTATAAAAAGTAATAGTCAGTGGCAATGATTTATTTTCCCTAGAATATTTCTATTTCTACATCTTTAAAGTAGTATTGGTAAAATATCAGTTATACCCTGTATATGTAGATGATGCCACAGCCGACCCACTCATCTGCCAAGTCTCGCACACAATCCCCGGTCTCGTCACAGATGACGATGGGAAAAGAGAACTCACACAAGCATGGTCGACCGGAGGGACGTCAGGGAGGTCCGGTTGTCAGCACGTCAATGGAGATACACAGTGGTATACCAAGACAACAGGATATATCTCCTTCTAGCTCCTCCCAGCCGTCACCAGACCAACATTCACAGGTCAGCTTTCTACAGATTGCATTTTAAACCTGAACACGTCTGCTGTTTTTAGCTCAATATGGACAGCATCGAATTTGTAAACCGGGGGTTGCAGGTTCTATCTTCGAGCAAGGCATTAAATCTCGGTGACAGTTGATCTAGAATATTTAGTCTAATGGTCATTTATCTCTCACACGCTGATTTAAAAGTCATGTGCGATAAGTAGTTGGTCACTTGTAGAGGAATTGGTTATTACTAGTTAATCACCTTATCATATACAAACTAGTTGTTAATTTGACAGACTGGATTAATGTTTTATCCATAATGGTATAATGTTTAAATCATGAATCATGTTAACATTTTAAATAAAATTAAAATAAAATATTAATGTTTACTACAGGATACTTAAGAACAGTTTCTATGTTTTTCAGGATGAAGATCCATTAAGGGGAGGTAACTACCAAAAGTCTGGTTCCCAGGCCCAGTCTCCCGTGTCGTCTGCTGGAGATAATAGGGACCAGGTACATTCCTCCCAGCATCCTCACAGGAAAGGACGAATGTTTACAAGACCCAGATCACGCATGGAGCAGGAAGAGCCAGAGAGGAAGCCTGGAACAGCGCCACCTAGGGAGGGAATGAAGCCTTCTTCTCAGAGATCTTCGCCGTCTGCTTCTGTACAGGATGGCGGGAGAGTTATGTTACCCTATGATAAGAAAGGACCTAAGTCTGAATATGATTTTCCAGATAGTCCTGATGATGAAGGAAGAGGAAAACCTACATTGAGCAGTTACATGTCTTTATCTAGCAGTACAAGAAGTCCCAGGCGGGGTATTGTTGATAGTTCCGAAAACAGAATGCAGTCTGGAGATAACAGTAGAGATGGAGAAGGAAATGTCGAAAGTTCCGAGGATGTGTCTGGTTTAGATTCCAAGGTCAGTGATAGTGGGTCAGGGAAGGATAATGAGGCTCAAGGTTTCGAAAGGTTTGGAACAGAAGGAGTTGCTGATAGTTCTAAGTTACAAGATCATGGAAGAAAAGGGGACGAAGGTCAAGTGAGTAGCCGTGCAGGTTCTGGATCTTCGGTAAGAAAACAATCTCTTGAAGCAGACGATGGGTCAAACATTTCTCACACAAGTGCTGACAGCACAGATAGGTTAATGGTGGATGAGTCGGCTAATATTGACAGTTCTGCGACAGGTGAAGTGTCGTCTGCAGGCGGCAGCAGACGCAGCTCTAAATCTTCTCGAGAGAGTGACAACAGTCCTCATCCGTCAACAGATTTCTCCGGCTCAGTCGAACATTCTAGCCATGGGCGTCAAGGTCATAGGTCGCGAAGCCCAAGGTCGTATCCACAATCAAGTTCAGATTTAGGATCGAGCGCACCAGCTGGGTCTAGTGTGCAATACTCAAGGCGGGGAGCAGAAGGGGACTCCGGGTCTGAGGCGAGGGAGCAAGAGCCCCAACCTTTATTATCATCACAGTACGAGACATTGTCAGATGATGAACAATCATGATCTCTTTATACAAACATTCGTTATCATACAATTGGCTTATGAAACTTCCATACAAAGGGAAGAACATCACTGTAGAATCATTGTGAACAATTTTGTTTTGTACTTTTAGTTGTGTCTTTGTAAATATTCATTGTCATTTATATAATTTACTGAATGTTTTCCTTAAAAAAAATATCACTGTGGACCGTGGAGGCAGTTAACTGGCACAAGTTTTAATTTGTTCATTTACTTAATGCACTTTGTAAATTTTTACACCACTTTTCCATGGAGGTGAAAAAGGGAAAATGGACATATTGCTTCAATTGTATGTGAGAAACCCAGAAGGGAAAATTTGCAGGAAAACTTACAAGTCAGAAGTGCTTTTGAATAAAAACGGTTATCGAAAACTGTATAGAAATTTGATAAAAGCTGTACAACTGGTTCTTGTGATTGAGAAAGTCTTGGTTATAGTGATATAGATACATTATATGATTTTATTCACATAATTCTGTCAGAAAATGAAGAGTGTGTTGTTGACAAAGCCTTTTTTTATATAATGGATTTACCCCTTTCTTTGGATGTAGAACAGTCCATAATGAGTTTTGGGTATTTCAGTATGAAAATACAAAAGTTGAGCAGTAAGCAGTATAGATACATGTATATAGAGTACATGTATATATAGATTGAAGTCAAGACTGCATACATATGTAGGTCGACCTGGCTGCAAACTAGTTATTTTTGCTTGTTTTTTTATTGAAAGCATGAAAAAGGTTACAAGCAATTTGTTTCTTCAATATATTTTGGTTACATAAATAATTTGTAAGAAAAGTCACCTGCCATTTTATTGTAAATGTATTGGAGAGGGGTAAAAAGTGCAATTCAATTGAAATCAGCTTTTAAATGAAGCTTTACTTTCAGTTAACTCTAAAAATATCTTAATTATACCCCCAAAAACAAAGTTTGGGGGGGTATATAGGAGTCACCCGGTGGTCGGTCGGTTGGTCGGTCCAGACGTCCGTTGCATTTTCCTTGTCTGGAGCATAACTTGAAGACTAATGGTTGGAATTCAATATAACTACATACAATGGTCAAGCACATTGAGAGGAAGTGCAGTGCACAAGAACCATAACTCTATCTTGACTAATTACAGAGTTAATGCCCTTTGTTACTTTTCCTTGTCCGGGGCATAACTTGAAAACTACTGGTTGGAATTCAAAACAACTTCATACAATTGTCAAACACATTAAGGGGAAGTGCAGTGCACAAGAACCATAACTCTATCTAAAGTAATTACAGAGTAATTGCCCTTTGTTACTTTTCCATTGATTTTTTTTTTGTCCGGACCATAACTTGAAGACTAATAGTTTGAATTCAATAAAACTACATACAATGGTCAAGCACATTGAGAGGCAGTGCACAAAAACCATAACTCTATCTTGACTAATTACAGAGTTATTGCCCTTTGTTACTTTTCCTTGTCCGGGGCATAACTTGAAAACTACTGGTTGGAATTCAAAACAACTTCATACAATTGTCAAACACAATAAGGGAAAGTGCAGTGCACAAGAACCATAACTCTATCTAAAGTAATTACAGAGTTATTGCCCTTTGTTACTTTTCCATTTATTTTTTTGTCCGGATCATAACTGGAAGACTAATGGTTGGAATTCAATATAACTTCATACAATGGTCAAGCACATTGAGAGAAAGTGCAGTGCACAAGAACCATAACTACATCTTGACTAATTACAGAGTTATTGCCCTTTGTTACTTTTCCTTGTCCAGAGCATAACTTGAAAACTACTGTTTGGAATTCAATACAACTTCATACAGTTGTCAAGGACATTAAAAGGAAGTGCAGTGCACAAGAGCCATAACTCCATTCTGACAAAATACAGAGTTACTGCCCTTTGATACTTTTCCTTGTCAGGAGCATAACTTAAAACGTACTGGTTGGAATTCAAAACAACTTCATACAATGGCCAAGCACAATAAGAGGAAGTGCAGTGCACAAGAACGATAATTCTATCTTCAGTATTTATAGAGTTATTGCCCTTTGTTCCTTTTCTTTGTATTTCTGGACTTATTACAGAGTAATTCAATTAAACTTCATCAATGGCCAACCACATTGAAAGGAAATGCAACATATAAGAACCACAACTATCTTTAATTGCCCACAACCATAACTCTATATTTCAATTCTTTTACAAGGTATTCTGTTACAAGTAACATCCTCATTTCCGAAGTAGTCTTGTGGGGGTATTAATCACATTTAGTGATAGTTCTAGTTTTAGTTGCATTAGAAAAAGTGATGAAAGTTTACACACAACATCATGGTGCAGGGAAAAGCTTTGCTTTGTGCTTGAATGTTTAAGATTAAAACACTATGTCACTGCCGCCAAGCAACTATTTGGTGGTAAAAATTATTTTTTGTTACAAATTTGATTTCCTATTCAGATGTTGTGTTAGGGGTTTGTATTTATATTGAGTTGTTGAAGACTATATGAAATATTAAACAAAGCTTGCCAGTCAAAGAATCCATATGAAGGAAAAAAAGAATATGTTGTAATATTTTTGTCACGTTTTGGAAGTGTCTTGACTCTAGTGAATAAGAAATAAATATGAAATGTATTTTTGTGACGAGTGTTTTTTTATTGCCCACACTTAATATCTTTAATGGACTTGTCCATATCTCAACCTGCGGGGAAGGATCAAACAGCTCGGATTGTAACAAATCCAGAAATGCAACCTAAATAGTCTATATAACAAATTGGTCTTTCTTTTGCCCAGATAGATGATTCTGGCCACTTTTACTGTGGTAATAGAAAGTTGACATCTATGTGTACTGGTGAAAATTGACTTCTGGTGCCCTCTCTGTGCATAATTAGTTTATTACTATAGTTCAGCAGATTAAAACAAATGAACCTGATAACCGAATGGCTCCCTATCATGGATTGGTTAAACACATGCTAATAGGAATCTGCAACCTTAACCACGCTGCAATTGAGTCAGGTATTGCCAACTGTTAGCGATACAGTCCAAATAAGAACAAACTTCTTGCCGTTGTTACATATGACACATACTTCAATCAAAATGAAAACTGATCAAAAGAGAATAAACAATCACAATTTTCGAAATAAAATTTATTTATTAGTAAATTTGATGCATGGTTACAGAATTGTAAAAACCAAGAAATAAATACATGAAATTCCTGTGTTTAACACCAAACAATGGGTAGATGACTGACAATACAGGGGTATAACACATTTACATGTACAGTAATCATTCTATAAAATGTACATGAGAAAAGGGTTGAATGAAGCAAGGTGTGACTTAAATAATACTCAAATAACTAATGCAATAATTCCATGGGAATTCTTTTTGTTTAATATCAACAGATGACATAATGTTTAAAACAAACAGGGATCATGATGGTTCATTTATTGCTTGAACAACTTGGCACTTATTATTAAAATACCATGGGCAAAAAAATCTCAGTGCTTCAAAAAAAAAATTTGAATTACAACTGATGCTCAAATCTTACCCAAGCACAAGAATGATAAATAAAATTTAATGTCCATAGAAAAAATGCTCGGGGAAACTTTTATTCATACCACAGTAATTGTACAAAAGAAAAGACGCATTATGCCTCAGAAACAAATTTTCATTTCTTTAAAAAAGAGCAAAGTAAAGTTATATAGCATTTAAATAATGGTTTTAGTCGCTTAGAGCATGTAAAATGCTTATCACCTTGAGAAAGTAGCAAGGAGTGTGTATATAAATCCCCAAAAAAGAAGTTAAAATGTAAACAATGTGACATTTTGACTTCCATACAAAATCACTGTAACTACCAATTGCCAAAAAGCAACAGAAACAAACTATGGTTAAGGTATATGGCCAATAAGTTATTTTTAGGTATCTAGAACACAAACGACACCAAAAACTAAAAAGTTTTTGAGAGATAAAAAAAGAAATATATGTCTAGGGCTATTGGGCCTTTAAAACCATAAGCTCATTGACATATATTCCATTCCTCAGGATTGTTTAACCTATACAGTGCCTTTAGCTAAAAGGTTTAGTTTATGCCAACCAAGTATAAGAAAACTGAAATTCTTCCAAGTGTTTCCCACACTGACTAACTCCACTAACATTGAACATTTTCATTAAATATGCTGTCCTTAATTTTGAAAATAACTGTAACAAGACCCTACGTACATTATTCAATGAAATGAAAATACTTAACAAAGCAAAAATAAAGACAATTGGATTCCAATATATTCAAACATACTTGTCGTTAAACAAATAAATTAATGTCAGTGAACAGTATACATCTAAAATATAATTCATGAAATACTTTCTTCATTTATTTATAACCTTTTATTTATAACCTAACAAAATAATCTGCTAAACTATTAGGCTAGATTCCTATATAAATACAAACTATAACAGCTCGATTTTCAAAACAACATTCAAACTCAAGTTTATGCAAAAAAATACCAAATTGGATATCAACCACTTTCATTATATGATACCACACAAATTCATGTAGACTTTTACATGATATCAAATAATTTTTTATGTAAAAAAAGAGAGAAATAAGACATAACTTGGTGAACATGTCAGAAATAAGTTTTTGTGCCAACTGTCTTTAGTTACTAACTACCTGGATCAAAATTCATAAATAATTTTTAAATTTTTTTATGAAAAGATTTATGCGTAGAAACAATACTAAATTTCTTGTGATCTAAAAAATTATTTCACTAACAGGCCAAAACGTATTATGATAATCCATAATTTTTTTTTAAAAAGCAAAATATCTTTAACAAGAAAAGTTAACTTTTCAAAAAACAAAAAACAATCTAAAAAGTACAATCCTAAAAGTAAAAGCACACTGAAGAAAAACAAAACATGGTATAGGCTGGATCATTAAATCATTAAGGACATAAATGGTGACATGTCTGGGGTTCGTACTCTGGAAGGGCGGATGGACCTTCATTAAGCCTAGAATACATGCATAAATCATTAAGAGCACTGTTGAGTACACTATGACCTATGCTAATTTTGAAGTCAGAACCAGAATATCATCAGTATTTATGGTAAAGGGTAAAGTTTTCAAAATTGTACAGTACATCTATATTTATTTTAACATCTATATTAAACAACTGGGACTCTATTTAATAATAATCACAATATTCATACATAATTAACAAAGGTCAAACATCTAAAATCTCATATCTAACACAGTGCTTCAATTTAAACAATACTGGTATAAAATTTATTAAATGGTTATTTGGTTATCAACAAGAGGTGTCTGTCATAGGCAAAGAATAAATATTTTTTCTTCTTACGGTTACTTTAAACATTATAATTATTTACTCATTTTCAGCTTTATGTGGTGAAAACTTCAAAAACTCATTTATCAACAGAATTTTTGCATGAAAGACCCCAGTTTGGCTTTGAACAATATCTTTTGATCTTTTTGAATATCTTATATATTTGATTAACTCTTAGAACGGTAATAGACTCAACATGTGCATGAGGGTAGTCAAAAAAAATCACTAGGCTAATTGGGGTCAAATTAAAACAATCAAATTTCACTAGTCCAGAATCCGACAATAAATGTACTTTTATTTTCCGTAAACATAAAAATTGTAACATGGATCCTTGAGGCTAAAATTAATTTGTCTATTATATTTTAAGCAACGTGCGTTTAAAATAACTTTTGAAAACTTTTGAAAGAATCTTAACAAGTATACATGAACATTGCCAGATAAAAAAAATCTTTTGATGCATAAAACTGGATAAAATACATGTATAAACATTTGTGACATACATAGGATTAGCCCTTTAGTTAGTTATGTATTATCATATATAAAACACGGTAAAAACTTTCCTTGCAAAAACCAAAACAAGTGCCTTTATAATAATTATGTACCTGAAACAAGTAAATTTCTGGTTTAAGAACATCTTTAAATATGTTTAAAAGTTCAAAAAAATTGCATAAAAGTTCTCAGAACGACCAACAAGAAAATATTTTTAAATGTTAACAACGGCAAAAGAAGAAAAGCATAACGACAGAAAATGAGATTTTCAACCATTTTTTTTAAATTTTAGTTCACTTACAACATTATTACCACTAACAAACTTTATATAATAGAAATTTGTTTATATGTTTATCATGTTTTACAGTTTATAACAACTACACTTCCAGCCTAACTGTTAGAGAAAGACAAGAGAGGCCCATCTATACATTTATTCAGGTAACCAGCTTGTACCGGAGTAGTAAAACCACTGTCATGTAACTGGTTAGCTTCTTCATATGAAAGAATCCCCAGTCCCTGATAAGATTCAAAACCACAATGCTGAGAGGCAAAGCTTTAAAGTTAGTGACAGTTTCTGCATGGCCAAAGAGGCACCAGGAGGGGAGGGGGGAATAAGATCAAAGTTAAATGCCTACATTACAAACAAAATGCATTCAAATTAAATGTGACACAAACAGTTTCTTCGAGATATACCTTTTTTCAATACTCCACAAACTTTAAGATGTAAAAAAATTATGGCATTTTTAAGTTTGTGATTTATTGATCAATTAAGGATAAATAGAACCTGTAATATTTCAGCATTTATAACATACTGCAGGGGTAAAAAGAATAATCATTTTCTTTACCTATTATTTCTGATTTAAGTCTTATTCATTTTTGTGTAGAGAAAACAAACAGATGATAAAACTTTATTCATAATTATTGTTGTCATAAAAGCTCCAAATCAAAAATTATTTCAGACCTTCTTTTCTTCACAAATACAGTGTTAGTAAAAAAGCAATGCAAGTTAATATGGGGTAACAAATTACTATCCGGTGAATTTGAAAATTTGGCACATTTACACATGTATAAAAATCACTGGCAGGTGTGAGCGTAACCAATGAAAAACGGTGAATAATGAGCAAAACATAAATCCACATGTTACAATACTTAACTATCAATAATAATATATGATAAACATTCAACAAAAAACTTGTCGAAGAAAAAATAAAACCATTGTGATTACAGGTAGTTTGTAAATTAGCAATAAAATATCAAATGTGTATTAGACTTGAGTAATTGCACGATTTCTGTCGATGCCGTTTGGTTGACATCGTGATTGTGACAAGGTAGACTTGACTGGTGATTTTTGTTGATGTAACACGCGATCTAATTCGTCCTGAAATAAATCCGGCACCGGAACAGTCACGGGTACCGACTGTCGTTTTTTTCTTCTCGACTGCGAAACATGACTAGAACTGCGTGATGAGGCATTCACACTGTCGCCTCTGCCCAGAGATTTTGACCTTTTCTTTTCACTCTTCCCTGAACTACGCAAATTATTGTACTCTGGCCTTTCAAAGTTTTCATTTTTACATATGTTTAATGAAGTAGGCCTCTCCGATGTAACATTTGATTGTACTAGATGCGATGGCGTTAAATCCGTCACTCTCGGAGAATTTTCATGCCCGATATGAATTAATTTTTTACTTGATTTTCTTTCTCTACTTGACACTCTTTTTCTCACATGATCTTTAGCACTGTTCTCGGACACTCTCGGTCCATGCTGTCGGTCATGTGACCTCGACACTTTCAATCGCTGATACTGTTTTTGAACATCGTGTGGCGATTGAGTTTTAGATTCGGCTACAGGCACAGGTATACACCCTGCTGAATGTCTTTTGAATAAATTCTTTCGTTTATCCTTTTTATTAGGTCTCTCTTCAGTCTCATAGTTATATAACTGCGAGGCGCACGCCCTCATTTCACTGCTCGGAACACAATTTGTGTTGACCTCGACCACTGAATTGGTTTGTTTATAGTATGGAAAAAACATGTTAGAAACATCTTTGTCTGGTAAAGTTTTCTTTTCAATGTTTCTGTTACTATTTCTACCTAACGTGTTCATGCTGAAACGTCCTACAGAGATATTATCGTCACAGGAATCAACATGGCCGCCATGCCAACTGTGAATCATTGATATATCTGGCAGTTTACGTCTTGTTTCTAACTTAGCACTTTCTTTCTTCGGAGTAGACTTACAACTAGATATTTCACCAGTCGAAGATATGGCAGCTTGATTTCTCGATTCAACATTATTGTCTATATTGCCCACTTGCCTCGCAGACAAAGATTGACTCGATGGCGGCAAGTGCTGATTTAGAGAGGGCTGAACATTTGATGGCACCTGTTGACTTGGGACATTGTCAGTATTGTCCGGCTTATTATTAATCAAACAAGACTGAATAAAGTTTTTATAAGAATTGGTCGGATACGGAGCATCGTTGCTAATGGCAACATCCGTTCCATTCCTTTCACCAGTTTCTGAGCATACACTTAACGAGTTGACAGAATTCTCGCTTAGAGATCTCTGCAACTGTCTCGGATGACACAAAATATTTGAAGAATCGCCAGTGTGTGAATCTAATGAAAAAGTTTGTTTATTAAGTAGATGACTAAGTCTTAATCTGCGTAACTCATCTTGACGTCTGGTCACAATGATATCTCCTGGATCCAATATGGCCGTTGATAATCTTGACGAGTCGGCACCTACATGACCGGAGCACACACTCGCAGTAGAGTCGACAGTGTCATCATGACTAGAATTCATCAAACGCACATTTGAGTCACTTGAATTTCTAGTATGAACATATTTTCGACTAAGTTCGTCCGGTTCTTTGTACGCAACCCTAACTGCATGACCTGCACGTGAAACATTTCTAGGTGGACTTTTTGTCAAACCTTTATACGGCTGATTGATTAAACTTCCATTTGTTTTTAAATGTTCTGATTTTGATCGTGATAAATTTTGCCCGCCAACTACATTTGCAGCAGACGTCATGCTGGAACTCTTCTTAACGGTCTGAGATTCGGTTTTTGGAGGGAAAGATCCTAATGAAATGCTCTGTCGGAAACTTTGGCCCAGGTGGCGATACTTGAGCGCTCGTCCACGACTGTGACATAGTTGTAGGATAGCGTCGGCTTTTCGACTGACCAAACTGACGGTCCAAAAACCTTTTGACAGTAGAGTTGGCATCATCTGGTAATATATCGCCCGTTAACCTTTCGAGATTTCTATGATCCGTATCAAAATGAGGAGATTCGGGACTACTTGATAATGATTCGGCAGACGTTGTGGACTCGCCGATATCCGTGGTGCTTGATGATAAATCACCTCCATTTGGAGCACTGTGCCTATTCGTAAAACTTGATTGATTATTCCTATTCCTAAAATTCCGAACAGTATTTTGCAATTCTAAATTCAAAGCGGCAGTATTTTCATTAAAAGCTAAAGGCATGTTCCTATTTGAAAAATTCCGACTTGGATTAAAATTTCCATCAGAATACCTGTTTCTGTTAGTCCGATTTCTATTTTGAACACCCATGGTTATACTCGGCTGTCCTGAAGGATTATTTTTAAAATGAACACTTAAATTCCGATTCACTACATTTATGGAATCCAATGCCTGCGAATTTCTTGAATTCTGCTGAAGGGAACTATTTTCTATAAAACAGGAATCTACTGCTTGTGTATTTCTTGAATTCTGCTGAAGGGAACTATTTTCTACTAAACAATCATTATTTCTCGACAAATGACTCCCTTCATTCAGTATCCTTACACTTCCATTAATTCCAGCATTATCATTTACATTGGCTACCTCATTATTATTTCTGATTCCTCTACCATTGAAGTTTTGACCTGAATTATTCCCGAAATAAGACGGAAGTATTTGATCAAACGTGTCCCTGTTGGGAATATTTCCATTACCCACGTTATTAAAATTCTGATCGCAATGAGCAGATGTGTTGATAATTTGCCGCTCCCTATTTCCTTGTTCTTCAGCATTGCCTCCCTCTACTGCCTCGTACGGAGGCGGTTCTTCCCCTGGTTGAGGTTTAGGAGGGGTGTACGGAGGGGGAGGGTCCTCATACGGTGGGCACTGGATACCGTAGAAGTCAGGGGAGTAACTTATACTATCTAGATCATCTAGTTGTTCTCGTCTACGACTGTACCCTGCAAATATATAATTATCAAAACTTGATAAAACTTTTCACTTTTTTATTAATAACATAACATAAATTATTACAGAAAGAATTTACTAGTATCGTACCAAGCTTATGATTAATTTTAAAGATTAAATTTTACCTCCACGGTTTTCACAATAACTAATAAATAAATATACTGTTTAATTAATAAATAAATATACTGTTTAAGATCTGCTTGTACTAGTGGAAGAAAACCCATGATGCTCAACCCAAAATTATTTAAAACTCTTTATACAAAATTTCAGAAACTTGTCAGTATCTGACCCTGCTGGCTGCTACAGATTCTACCAATGCGAACAGTACCTAGAACAGCAAACCAAATCTGCCATCTGATCATAGTCTGTACTGTTTGCTATTCAGTCAATACATATTTTGAATTTTCTCCTAAAAATGATTAATGGTTTTGTCCAGATTGGAAGATGGACAAGTTTATTTAAGATATTTAGTGTGGTAAGGGTACCGGTACTTACTTCTAAGAGTAATAAGAAGCCGCCTCTGTCTGAACCGATGTATAAGAAACAACAGAAGAGCCAGGATTAGGAAGGTGGTCACAGTGCTTGCCACAAGTCTCAAACCTAGGTCTGTAACTGTGTTGTCTGCTGGCGCACCTGAAATTATGAATGATATAACAGGTTTAATAAGAGTATTTGAAATATCATTAAAATTGTACACTAATGACACAGAGGCACACAATTGTGTCAATGATCTTAAAGGGTGAGTTAATGAATTGAACTCACACCATGCAGTGTGAGGCAAGAATGTGAAGTCAAGAGCTTTAAACCAGTAGGCCCCATACCAGTCATTAGATATTCATAAAGCTATATCTATTTATTGAGCATAAAAGTATTGTGTTTCTCAGGGCCACTGTAAGCTTCTTATTTGCCAAAACTGATCTCAAGTGGATATAGGGGCATTGCGACTAATAGCTAGAATTTACTAGAATTACAAAACAAAACAAAAAAAGAGTTCTTTTACTATCATAACATAATATTTAAACATGTAGGCATCTTGCATACACAATCTTGTTGTTTTATGCACTGAAGTCAATTTTCAAGTTCACAATCATATGAACTAAGTCAAGTTATTTTTGTTATAATTTTTCCAATAATATCTTCCCATTCATCTCATTTTTCATCAATCCCTACACAGCTGTTTTAAATTAATCAAAATTATCAAAATTTTACAACTTTTGAAAGATTTACTCTTATGAGACGTTTCCTCCAATTAAAATTTCTGAATTTCAATAAAAGAGCTGAAGAAAAAAGCCCTGAAGCACGGATTGAGTACCGTACTTACGTTGTAAAAAAATGTTTACAACGCATTAGATAATGTATTTTTTCACCAGATTTCCATGAAAAAAATCAAAACAATTGTGCAGTTGTTAAAGCTTAAAATGTTTTTCAACGAGTCCCATGTGTTATCATGCCAAGATGTTTTCTTCTCGGATATAAGAACATAGATATTATATAATGTGTGCAACTGCAGAGATGGGGGGGGGAGAGAGAAAATGGATAACTTACATACCAATAGCATGATAAAACCCGCTGAGTCGGATAATAAAACAGGATGAGCAGAGGAAAAATATTATAATAAATTGTCGGAGAGACATTTTGCCTATCTGTACCTACACAGGTGTATCTGACATATGACAGTTTTTCTTGCAGTAACTGAATTTCGCAAGACCAGATCTCATGTCATTCTAAGATATTATCTCATTTAATTAATAAGGCTTTACCCAGATAAAATTGCTATAATGGAATTGTTAAAGGCACATTAAGCCTTAGAAAAGACTACAAATTTCCATTTTCTAGAACATGCCAAACATGTGTTTTAAGATATTTTTTAATTCATTTTTATGATAAATTTATACCATGTTAGATCCTTTATTATCCCATGGACAAAAATTGATCTGGATGTAAAATAATTTTTCATAAAAAGGAGCAAAATGTGAAAAAGTAGTATTTTGACTTCCATATACAAAATACTAAATCACTTTTACAATGTAACTTTACTCATGGCCAATATACAAAAAGAAGCAAAACTGGCTCAAAGATATGGAAAGTATGAGTACAATTTTAGAAACAGTATGTACTAAAAAGAAACAGCCTTTTAGAAATATATAAAAAAAAAATTGGGGCAGAATGTGCCTTTAAAGTAAATTTCTGGTTCATGCTCTATAATTAAATACAATCTTAGAGAGTCTTGTCAACAATTTTTGATAAATTAATAAATCAATTATTAGATAAACTGCTGAGGGGAAACTTTTAAGTGCATGTATAATACATTATAATAATAATACTGAGAGAATGGCCACTGGGCAAGTGTCAACTAAAAACTTCCTAATGCTCAAACAAACATGTCAAAGATTATCTGTAATTCTTATCTGGGAAATATTTCAATATGTGATGCTTGGTTACTAATTGAAATCACTTCAAACTCTAAAATTTAGTAACAAAATTTTTAATAATGGAATGATAATAAGAGGTATAGGTTACTAACACCATTATCAATTATTATCAATTATTATCAGTCGTTATCGTGGATGTTTTTAATAAACTGTTCTCCTTCAGTCCAATTCAGTAATGCCGGACAGATTACCCTTATGACCCTATGTAAATATATAGGTGAGCACAACAATATAATTATGTTTGCCAACAGCCCCATACCCTGTCCACCCACTTAACTCAATAGGAAGAGCATAGGTGGGTCAACCACCGGATATGACCAAAAAAAAACAAAATAAATAACCAAAATTATTCCCATTGAAGAAAATTCACATTGTCAACTCAAAACAGTTGTATTTCTTTTCTTTTAACATTTAAATTCTTGTTGAAATAATGAGTTGCGTATGTTATCAGAATAAAGCCAAACTTTAGCCAGAATTTAAATTGTGTCCAGAGGAGACACAGTCTATAATGTTCCCACAGTCTACTGTTTTGTCAGTCTTGGGACATAAAGCAAGACAGCAGGGCAGATGGATCAGGGCAAATTTATATGCAACCCCCATCCCTATCCACCTCTCAAACAAAGTGAGGGGGCCTAAAAGAATGTGATGAAGAAGTTTATTGTCATACCTGAGACGTCGCCGTTATTTATTGGTCCGGTATTATTCTCCGGTTTAGTTGCGACACCGTTCTTATCCAGACACTGAAACTGACAGCATTCCCCCTCAATCGCCTTCATATCTACGGCACATTTAGGCGGGGCACATGACACGGTTTTACACATCGTAGTATAGCCCTTGTCACAGTGACACTGATAGCACGGGTCCTCTTGTTTCGGATAAAATGCTGTGCCATCTAAGAAGGTTTTACCTTGCCAATCTGTGCACTCCAAGGCTGATAGCACTGAAAATATACATACAGTAATAGTTTAGTTTATTATTAAGACAAGAAACTAAAGAAGAAAACACGAGCATCCTTCAAGATATTTAGCTTGGTAATAGTTAAAGCAACATGCCTCCCGATAAATCAAAATACTTCAAGAAAATCAAGAAATTAAACTTAAAAAAAAATGTACTAAGATTATAAGAAAAGTAAAAAAATTCAAGATTCAAGTAATATTTTGCATGTTATGTTCGATTAATGCCTGATTTTGTAGTATTTATTACCATATTTATACAGCGTTACTAAACACAGAAAGGGCTATTTTGTGCATATTTCTACCTCTTTTAGGTAATTTACTTGGATTGCAATAATTTTAGCACAGTTTGCAATGTGTAAATTAACATCTTTGTTCACTTCATAATATTTTACTTTTCAAAACATTTTAAAAAAGTTCATGAAAATTCTGGAGGCGTGCTGCTTTAAAAGCTTTTATAAATCATTTTTGCCCACCAATCTTACTATAGGTACAAATGTAAGACACTTAACACTCACATTTTTATTACTACATTGATACATACACAGAGACTCAGATAAGAAAAAATAAACTAAATAATGGATTTCTCCTAGAATTTATGTATCTTTAAAAAAAAACTTCAGTGATAATTCCAACAGAACTGCACAAACTCTCAGGTAACTCCAAGAGCATCGCCATTTCAACATATGTTTCCCATTATACAACAAATCTCTCCTAGAAAATCCTCCGTAACTTTTTTTTTTCTTCTGCAAATTACATAGTTTTTAATGAGTCAGTATAAAATTTTGTCTAACTGTTCAATGATTGGTGGAATTTAAAAAAAAAACATCACTCAAGTTATACATCCTGTATCTTGGTTTTGTTTATTTTTTGTAGTTTTTTTTTTCTTTTTATAAATTGAATCATCCAGAATTTCAGAAATCCCGGCTTGATGATTTTATGAACTTTTTTTACCTCATTAATTGCCCATGAAATAATCATCTAGTATCAACTAAATCTCAAAAAAAAAAGTGAAAAAAATCCAAACTTTCTCAGAAACATAATTATCATTTTGGCAAAGCCAAGTTGTTGTGAAATCTAATCTGAAATTCAATTTTTTTTCTACTTTTTTTCTCTCTTATCATTTTCTTTAATAATCTTAAAAACCCCAATATATTTACATTAATTAAAACCTTAGATTTTTCATATTTATTTTTTAAAATGTCTGAAACTATTCAACGAAGAAAAAAAAAGCTTAAAGTAAATTAAATTAATTAAGATCTCTGATTTTATTCAATACATCAAAATATCAAAAAAACAAACAACAAAAACACAAAAATTCTCAATAAAGTTACAAACTTATAAAAGATAAACAAAAAATAATAATTCCTATTATTATTAATTATAATCTTCATGTATATTGGCTGTTAATTAGAAAACAAGTACTTAAACAAATGCTACAGCAATTTACATGTATTAATCTCCATATTTCACACTTGAATATATAAAAACACCTACTTAATTCCATGCTTTACACTTTAATATAGGCACTTCAGAGACTGGCAGCTGCACATTTATGATTTTATATCATCTCCTTCCCAGTAATATAACATAAATATACACCAAACAAATTGTGTGCAGTCTTAACACTTCATATTAAGACCCTATATACTGTGTCTAAGCTTAAAGCACTTGAGAGAAGCACATACACAGTACAAATGTACATTATTGTACATGACTCCTATGTTACAATCACTAAATGCACATCATTTAACTCTTTTATTGTACAGTTTAACCATTCAATGTATTATAAATGATGGGTTTTTATCTAATTTATTGACTGTGTTTAATCAGTCAATAAACTTCTACAACAGTCTATAGTCCATCTCCAACTGAGTGTTTCAAGTATTTTTAAACAAAGTACTTCAAAACAAATCTTAACATTGACAGAGCAACATGACACTGGTTTAAAACCTTGAGAAAACTTTGGGGAAAAAATGCTCTGGTATTTCATGCTACAGGAGCAACAGCAAGAGAAAAATTGTCCCAACGTGAAACAACATGAAATATATTTACAGATCTTTTATCCAGATATCCAATCAAAAACAAGGATAAAAAGTGTTCTTTCATAATTAAATATTATCAAACCTTATCAATAGCTATTGCAGATAAATATGATCATTTTCAAAACATATCTTAACAATTTAAAAAATCTAATCTGAAAATAATTCCATACAATCTATAATCCAAAACTGCCTACCAATTTATTTTAGTAATCCAGATCTTATTCTTTACAATTTCCTTTTCCTTTTTTTTTCAAAGAAAAAAAATACACATAAAATCCCAGATTTTTCAATGATAATCCAGTAAATCTTCTAAAATTATATCTACAAACACAGTTTTAATGGATTATCCAATTCTTTGATAAAAAAGCACCAATGCTTTTATCATTATAATAATCCATTAATCCCCCGCCCCACACACCATGTACATATAATACAATAATTATCCTCCCCTGTCTGAAATATACATACATCAATCACCTCCGAGGCAACCAGATATTTATATTTATTACCGGTATATATATATAATTTTCAAACTGAGTGTTTTATTATAGAGATGATATCTTAATATATGATGCAGCAGACGGCAGGAAGAAATGCTGCACAAGATCATGTCAGTGCAAAAATTAGGTTCCACAGATAAAATATTTCCAATGCTGAAAAACTCATAAAAATGTCTTCTGCATATTTTTCTGCATTTTCTTTCTGCGTATCTTTTAATGCAAATTGTTTGCATGTATCTATACAGTGATCTACCAAGATGAATTGCAAGGTATGTGAAAATAATACAATAAAACATGAATTTAATAACATATTAAGTTCCACATGTGGCTTGTATTTAATGAATTGCCCTATTTTGAATTTGGAACTGTTGCATGTATATGATTATTTTCAACCCTTTAACAAATACCACTCTAAATATCTGAAATGGACTTGTCGGTGTCTTTACAGTTTTTTTATGACAATTCTTATAAAACTTGGAACTGATTGAATAACAATTAGTCGTACAAAGCAGACCATGATAAGACAGCACAGAATTGTCATTGAATTGTCTGAATTGATTACATCATAACATGGGTAGATTCAGTTGCCACCAGCAGGGTCAATATGTGGACTTGAAGGTTAATAAGGCAGGCTCTCTAATGGGTGGCATACTAAAAACACTGAAATATTGCTGTGTAAAAGATTGTATTATAAGCTATCTATATATATCTATACCTCCAGTAAAACTAACAAATTTATATATATCATTATTTAGATGACTGGATTTTTAATTAATAACGACTAGATAAATGGATTTCTAATTAATAACGACCAAAAGAGTAACTCTTAAGTCAGTACACGTATAAAAAAAAAATTCCCCGACAGCAGATGGAAAATGTATTTTTATCTAATTATAACTACAACATGTGCATTGCATCGAGAGTTGAGATATCGTGAATGAATCATCTTTTTATTTTTTTAATAAAAACAGCATTTTGGTCTTTTAGTCTCGAACTTATTGCCGTAATTTAAACATCAAACAAATCATCATTTTAACAATCTGCCGCAGTTTCCTTTGTACATTATCAGATACTGTGTGAACCACAATTTTCACTCTCAATTGATGTTTATCGTTATTTTTCATTCTGTGAATCAGTGTGTGAGTATATGTGTTAACATTTGGGTTTCATGTCAATTGCGCACACTCCTGACACTGTTGTCGCAAATCATTTGTAACCCCCAGTACATTATCGCCAACCATACTATAATTGTGATACTCACAATGTTATTCACCAGTGGTGGTCCCCAAGTTATTTTGTATAAGCCCCACTTGATCAGTCTCGTAAACTTAATAATCCTTTCATGGTAACGCTGATATTATTATTCACCGATCATTTGAAAAAGCTACCCCACCCTCGCCAACCATCCCATCATGGTCACACTCGTGGTGTTAAAGTTTTATATCCACCAGTCATTTGTTACTCCCACCACACATACCATCCTTCACTCCAAGGTAAAGGAAATTTACACTGTCTGCTGTCTGGTACCAATAGGTGAAAATCTTGATTGGGTGTCATACTTTCAATTCTTGCAAGATACAAAACTATGAAGACCAGAAAACACCAACCTTGCATACACTGTCGTATACATAGCTTCCTCACATGATGGAATTGATCAAATACAATTCTAGTTTGAACTTTGAACTAGGGCTTCTGATAATGGAAGTTTGGGAGTACCGTATTTATTCCTTGATTTTCAGTTAGTGACTTTCAAAATGAAATGCTTTTTCTTTCTTTACCAATCCAACATGACTTACAATGCGATAGATTTTCCAGTCTCTGACTTCCAACTTTTGAAACATAAATAATGGAAGCCCTGTTTGAACCCAGGACTTTAGAGGATGTAATTTAATATAAATGAAGCCATTATTTTTTATAATCACTCGGTCACAAACTTTAAGGAACTCTTTCTGAGTCTTTCCTAAGACTGCTAAAAAGTATCATGTTTTATAGTACGCTAAGTTTTTGTAGACATTTTGTTTCTTTTATAAGCTCAAGAAATTGAAATGATTTTTCATTCTTGAAAAACGGTACAGGTGATCAAGTGGAGAAATTATACGAAAACATATAACTGCAGGGTGAAATAAGAACATTACAGAAATCATTTCAGCAATATCAATTAAAGAATGGAACATTACAAACTCCAATTAATACACCTTCAGCTGCATGTACTTTATTCTAATCCATTAAATTGTCTAGAACAGATGTGCACTAATCCTCTTGAATTGAATGTAAGAGTTGTAAAGGAGTAACTGGAACAATTCTATGATCATGACATGTTAAACAGAAAGAGAAAGCCCCTTCAAATAATCTGTATGGATTCAAATTTTGTTTTGATGTTTAAGAGCACATGTTATTTTGCAGAATTCAATCAAATTCGCTGGCAATTTAATGTTATAAAACAAGTGTTAATGAATTTAGTATCTGAGCTACAATTCCGTCTTGATTGAATCAGAAAATGTCAACTCATCCGAGCTTTTAACGATGAATGAGGGTCATTCTTAAAGTGAAGTCAGAGGCTTAGCAAACTTCACCTGAGGTTTAGCAAATTTCATTTTCCTGAGGCTTAGCAAACTTCACCTGAGGTTTAGCAAATTTCATTTTCCTGAGGCTTAGCAAATTCCACCTGAGGCTATGCATATTTCACCTGTCTGAAGCTTAGCAAAATTCAACTGAGGCTTAGCATATTGCACCTGTCTGAGGCTAAGCAAACTTCAACTTAGGCTTAGCATATTTCACAAGAGGCTTACTTTACTAGCAGCTGAGCATATTTTGCCTGAGGCTTAGCATTTTTTGCCTGAGGCTTAGCATATTATTTCACCTGAGGTTTAGCATATTTCACCAGACTCAGACCATTCCACCTGAAGCTTAGCATGTATCACCAGAACTATCATGTTTTTGAAACAACAAATTAAGAACTTCTTCACATCATTATGCATAGGAAGTGAATTATATTAGATCAAATTTTTTTACAAGAACAGACATCTTATGGAGAGATAATACATAACCCTGCCTTAGGAACTCGGAACAAAAATATAAATAAGTGCATTTGTAATCGCTATTATGTCAAGACTTAAATGTAACATAATGACGCCTTATTTATCTGTATAAGAAATTAAACTTGCCAATCATGATAAAATAATGCTGACAGAAGTATAATTACACCAGAAAGATGATGAATAAACACATTTTGAAAATAATCAATATCACAGAAATTTACTGAAGACATTCACATTCAAAATTGACATATTGCATGTGTTTAATGTGTTTTATAGGCAAATTTAATTCTTAGTCTGTTATTTATTACGTGGCAATTTATACATGTACTCATGCTAACCAGTGCAGACCAAGTTCAGCCAGCACATTCATAGGTACAGTCTGATTTTTATCAACACTGTTCACTATTCAGTTGAGTAAATATTTCAAAATTTTCAAAAAAAATTATGACAGCTCTTAAGTAGCGGTATTATGTAATTTCGCATAGCAAAGGTAAAATTGTATCAAAAATTAAATAATGGAATATGAACTATTTCTAAATTTGTTGACATAATTTGATTGTCACAAATATTGTAAAGTATTGCAAGAGTTTGTGAATTACTGTATGCTCCGCTATCTACATGTGTATATCACTTTTATTTGTGGCATGTACTTGATGCAGGACAATAATTATCACAGTTGCAAATTCAAAATGTCAGAAAACCAGAAAATCCTGAATTTACCATTATTTTTACTTAATTTTTATTATTTTATATAGAAAAAGCGTGTTTTAAATCCGGGAGTATAAAACTTAGTTTTATATATTAAATCCGGGAGTAAAAAAAAACAAGAACCTCAGGCAAATGTACTTTATATAAGATCAGCATCACAACTGACTGTAACACTAGCATATCAACTCCAGAATTATAACTAAAATCAATGCTGTATCGTGTCAACAGAGCAGTTTAGTAAGAATTGTGAACATATTTACAACAGCTTAATATTTAAGATAACGAAAGAAAATCAACATTTCCTCACATGTTTTGCAGGTGATTAATTATTACATGTACATGTATAGTAACATACAT